AGGCATCGTGGGTGGCAGCTGTTGATTATATATGTGTCGGTAGTTTGTTCAGAATGCTTCGCGTGACACGCCAAGTTTGTGAACCATATGGTAGCACTGACATGACTGACACTAGTGTTGAGAATCCGGATGTTGTTCAGGCATTATGCTGAGTGGAGTACAGTGCAGTGTGGTAGATGTCCACACTGATTTCAGATTGATGCAGACGTGTCATGCTTTTCCGATCCTGGCATTCACATTGTCGTGTGTTTCGCTGCCTGTAGTTGTAACGATGGTGTCTTGTCTATGTAGGTGGAAGAGATAACTTGCTTTAGATTTCTCCTGTTGATGGTGATTGGTGCTTGTTGTTGATGCTGTTGTTGGTTGAGTATCTTTATGATCTCCGTCTTTTCTACGTTCACCTGAAGTCCCGTCCTCCTTCATTACCTCATCTCTTGTTAGTTTTCGCCTGTAGATCTTTCAACGTGTGCGACATTAGATATAAATCATTATCAGTGAAATCTAAATCTTCTAGGGTCTTTTCATCGGTCCAGCCAGCGTATGCCCATCTTCTCGCTCCTCACAGTTTGTTGCATGACCCAGTTCATTCGAGCCGACCATAATCGGGTAGAACATAGGTGATATTAGGCAACCTTGTCTTACTCCTTCCTGTCTTGACTTCAAAGGCGTCACTGAGCTTTCCATTGTGAATCACTTGGCGTGTGGCATCTTCATATAGCTGTTGAATGAGGTTGATACAGGTTTGTGGCACTAAAAGCGTATTGTTGAAGCATCTGCCTGCCAAATTACTTCCCAGTCGACTGTGTCGAAGGCTTTTGAAAAATCTATGAAGTTGAGGTAGAGAGTTGACTGCCATTCTATGCTCTTTTCTATGCTCATGCGTAGCGTCGCAAGTTGATGCTCACATGATTTGTTCTTGCTGAAGCCAGTAAGCCTGTCCCGATCGTAATTTTGAATCCAACGCATCTTATAGCCTCTCCAGAATGAAGTGCGATAATATTTTCATTGGAGTGGACAGTAGCGTGACTCTGCGCCAGTTCATGCAGAGACTTAGGTCTCCCTTCCCTAGAGGTTTAACAAGGTAGCCTATCCTCCACTCGGCAGGTACCTTTCCTTGCTTCCTTGCAAATCTTCTGCAGTTGTGGTATGAGCATGTATTATCTTGTCTCTGCGTCTTTTTTCAGTGCTCCTAGAGGAATTCGACCTGGTCCTGCTGCTTTCCCTGATTTCAGCAACTTTATGGCATTCAGGACTTCACTTCTGCTTTTGTTGCAGGGCTTGTGTTCACTGATAGTTCTGTGGCTAGGTTGCTGGTGGTATTTCTGGACGAGTTGCAGGTGGTGGTGTTCGATTCAAGAGTTTTTTTTGAAGTAGTCAGCCTATCCTTTCCTTTTTTTTCTTCTCTTTGGTAACCAAGTTTCCTTCACTGTCTCTCATTGGTTTCATCTGCATTGATCTCTTCCTAGGCAGTAAGTAACCTGGTTATTTGATATAATGTTGTCAGCTCCCTCCTACCTGTTCTGCTTCACTTCCCAATGTGTCGTAGAAGTGTCTTTTGCCTTTCCCCACACCCTTCTTCACTTCCTTTGCCAGTGTTTTACACGTTGTGCTCAGTTTCTCTTTTCGTTGTTCATCCCTCACTGGATTCGTTCATCTTCTCCTTCACCATATTCCTGTCCTCTATCAGCTTCCATGTATCCGTCGAAAGGCATTCATTGTCTTCTTTCTTCTTCTTTGCTAACACGGTTATGCAGGTTTCTTTCCACGTTTAATGTTACAGAGTTCCAGTGTTCTTTCACTCAGGTTTCTTCAGGGATGTTGCTCAATATGTTCCACTTTGTCCTAATGACTGACGACGTGAAGATGTCCTTTGTAGTTTCGTCCTTCAGTTTCAGTTCTGGATTTTGAACTTGAACTGTGGTCTATCACCAGCTTCCTTGAAGGCTTTCAGCTTGATTTGGAAGGTTCCTTGCACTAGATAGTAATCTGAACCTACATCTGCTCCTCTTCTTGACCTTGTGTCCAGTAGACTGCGTCTCCACTTTCTAAATTCTATGACATTAGCACTGGGTGACACAACTTCGAACTCAAGATTTGACACCAGTTCTCTCTAAGTTGTAAATATGCATTGCTGACAAACAGTAGAGAACATTAAATCTAAATCCAGAACCTATCGCTGATTGTCTACAATCATAATAACATCAAAAAAGGGATTATCGATAATGAATTCACGACTGCTAAGGATATTTGATCCCAAAGAGTTATCGTTTTATTGCTCAAAATTGGAAAAAGCTACATAATATAATTTGAATTACGACATTTGTGCACCTTTTCAAGGTGGTTTTCTCTTTGCCACCACAACTCAATTTACTTCATCTCCTAAAAGATATTTTTATTGTATGCTAATACTCAAGATGTACTCACAACTCATCATCACTTCCTAGTTGGATTACATCTTTTCAATTGAGAGCTATTTTATTCTTCATGTAAGCTGTCGGATTGTTATTTTTTATTTAGGCATTAGTACCAATAGGTTCCACACCAAGAATCGAGTATTACAGTGGCTCGTAACAGTGATTTTACTGCTAAAATGTTTGACAGGATTAATTCAGATAATTTGACGCTAAGTAATCTAGTGCCTAATCACTGTACAAAAACCACTTCTTGAATACGATTGTTTTGAGAATAATATTTCGCTGTATAATCAATACTCAAACCAACTCAACAATATCAGCTCAATTTATGTCCAGGAGTTTACTGACAAGTCAACGAGAAATTGACTAAATTTACACAAGATATTCTGGTGCAAAAATATGCAGAAGAAAGTGGAGATGGATTGGGCATACATTGAGAAGGCCGACTGGGGACAGCACGCGCCAGGCCAGTTGCTCGAGTGGAATCCCCATGGGAAGCGACCAGTTGGACGTCCGAGGTGAGGGTGACATGGAGGAGATCGTGTGAGGAGGAAATGAGAGCTTGTGGGCTGTCGTGGAGCCAGGTTCAAAAGATTTCAGAGAACAGAGACGTGCTACTGAAGCCCTATGTTTCATTAGGAACCCAAAGGACAAATAATAATAATATAATAATTCTGGTGCAAATATGCACACATTTACTTGTAAACTGAAGCCTCAACTATCGATAATCACCATAGGATCTCTTAGAATTCTACAGGGTGCAGAAAATAGTGTCTCTGAAATACTTAGACAACAAAACTTGATGATCCTTACGTACGGATAGTAGGATGTGACACAATCATTCGTGCAGTGTTGATGCCTATGCTCCAGTATGGGTTTATTTTTATCAACTACGATTATTTAGAACAGAATGGCTTTCAATATCGAATGGTTTCTACAACGAGTTATAAACATCGATGAATATTTGTTTTACACTAATGTATGAGTTAGTATTTTTATATCATCATTTGTTCGATCTTCTGTACAAATACTCGAAATCCTTTTTAATAGGCACTTTGTCAGTCTTCGCTTATATTGAACTGGACAAAAGCTATAGAAACTTAAATACTGTCTTGGTTTCTTGTATATCGACAGCTTTATTGAACTTACTTGCCTACTACTCAGGAGTATATAGAAGGCCAGCAAATAGTTGTATTTCTCTTCTTCATATGAAAAGTGTATATTGTTTTGTACAATATTTAGTCTTATCCTAATGCTTGTCACATATTCCAATTATATCATCAACACTTACCTTATAAAAAGTAACTTCACTAATGACATCACTAGCCAAACTTTCAATATATGGCATGTGAATATCAGTTGGAAATGGTCTTAAGAGACTTGTCATGGCCACGCCATCTATTTGTCAAAATGTTCCCCTTTCAAATGTGAAATGAACTTAATCAGTACACAGGCTAACACCACATCTTTGAAATATGTTGAAGGGATAGAGAGAGAACTACTGGAAGACATATGGTCGAAAAAGATGTTGACAGTTTTAGTTAAGGCCATCAAAGAAATAAAAACTCCTCAACGGGGTCATGGGTGCGCACTTCTGATGAGACAGATGTCTAGTGCTCTCAAGTTTCCAATGTTCCTCCGACTGAAGTCAGTTCATGATGAATTTCAACCTGAAATTATTGATTTTATAAATTTTAAACAATCCATATAAATTAGATAACTTTAACTTCACAGGTTTATGGGAAAGTCAAATCTTTCCTACTGATAATATTCATATTCAACAGGTTTTACTGGATTAGATGCTAATTAACCTCCTAATTTTCGAAGATCATCTGACTGAACACCAACCATCCCTTTACTCCTACTAATCAAGATGGACACCATCTTGTTTTTATAATCACATCTATTCATCACAACCACACCTGGCCCCCTTGTTGGGTATGAGAATATTAACATCACATCTGTTTCAAAGTTTTTTTTTGAGGCTTTGAAATGTTGTGAAGTTAGAATGCTTGTTTGTCTTGAACCAAAACAATGAAATTAATGTATGTCCTGAAGTAAACATGATTGAAATTATTTATCTGAAGCAAAAAAAACAAAACTAACTGGTGTTTAGAAACCGCAACGATTTCTAAATATAAACGCACGCCGTGAAAGTGGGATATAACTACACTGTTCAATTCAATATAAGCGAAGACTGACAAAGTGCCTATTAAAAGGATTTCGAGTATTTGTACAGAAGATCGAACAAATGATGACATAAAAATACTAACTCATACATTAGTGTAAAACAAATATTCATCGATGTTTATAACTCGTTGTAGAAACCATTCGATATTGAAAGCCATTCTGTTCTAAATAATCGTAGTTGATAAAAATAAACCCATACTGGAGCATAGACATCAACACTTCACAAATGACTGCGTCACAACCTACACTATCAGTACGTAAGGAGGAAGGATTGGTCGAGATATGCAGTAATGAACTTTGTAGATGTTTTTAAACTTAAGGATGAAGTCAACCAAGCTTCATGACCACTTGATAAAGAGGAAGACATTCGAGTAGACTGAAACTCTTTATTCTTACCATGTTGTTTATCATACAAAGATGAACTTCTTTGTTGAGTTTTACCAATAATTTCTAAGCATGTTTTTCACTATCAAATGAAACAGAAAGATAATTGAATTCTTCAGTACAGCCGTTCACCACTGAAATGACTAGATGATGGAGGACAATAAACAGATTCACTTTCTGAATTCCTGTTTTCTTCATACAGATTTAGTTTATCATTTGATGCACTTAGTTCAGATGGTCTCCGTATAGGGTTTCGCTCTCCAACAACGTTATCATTTGAGTCGAGGTAGCATAAACAGAATCCATTATCTGATCGTAAGAGAATTACATCTCCCGAAGAAAGCCAACCGATAGATGAAATTGATAAATTAAAATGTGCTGGGCTCTGTATATGAAAATAATTATAGTGAAAAAAAAGTGAAATAATAACCAACGATATGATGAACTTTGGATTGAATAGTTTTCAAACGTTAGTGTAAACCTTACACTTACAAATGTTATCCTAGATAGTCATCATGGTATATTTGCAAGCAGGAGAAAAAAGAAGACGGTTGAATGCGGATATTCATTAAAAAGTACTCCATCATATCCTAATTCTATATGATGTTCAGCAATATGAAATAGTAGTCAGTGTACAATTAAACTTAGACATCACATACACATTCGAATAGTGAAAATCTATAACATGAATTTTCAAACCTGACAGATAGCTGCTACTCTGATGTGGTGGTTGTGCTTGCATATTACAATGATCGATCGAGCTCTGGTGATGAAATGCTTGTTCCCTCAAGGTCCTACCATCCCCAAAAGGTCTGTTGGATAGTGGTATGATGAAAAGTAGTTACCGTTGTAGTGAGAATCGCAACACTATGATGGGGGTTTGACGGTGAAGTCGTACTGCTGCTTCCTATATGAGGTCTGATAGCACCAAGGTGTATTCCTTGGATGAACAGCAGCGCCACGACGATGCTGCCTTCTCAACAAAAGCAGGGTTTGAAATGGTTTGACCCAAAAATAACACACTCCACCCTGCCCTACGGTCTTCCAGTGTCAGCGGTATGGGTTTTCTCTGTCTCGCGTTAGAACAATCACATCTCTCATCAGCAACCCGCGAAAGGCTGTGAAAGGCCTCAAGCAGGTCCCACAAATCTTTCTTCTCTTCAGGGTACCTTAAGGAGAAATAGGCTTCCACGGTGTTGGCAGCCGGGGAGTGTCAACTGTCCGCACGCTTACAGTAATACACAAAACCCAATCAAACTTAACCCATGTTCCTCAATTCTGTCTTCTCCTTAGCCTCCACCTCCTAATACTAATATCAGGCCTCTTATACCTCCCCAAACCTCCCATTCTGCGACTAACGCTAACGATCAAAGTCATCGAAACCTCGTTCCTAATCTCCTAAGACCCCATCTTCGACTTCATGTAGGAGCTTTCAACGTCCGAAGTCTATGCTAAATCGGACAGCCCACCTCCCTCGCCAGAACTCTGGAATCTCCATCCATGGATGTATGCTGCATCTGTGAAATACATACCACGAAACGAATGTGGTTACTAAAGTGACTTGGCCATGGTAGTGAAACTTCAAAATTCACCTTACGGCTATCCGGAGATCCAGTGACTAGCTCTCGTGAACTCTCTCCTGTAGGCATAACAATGAGCTGTAAGGCAGAAAGTGCGCTTCTCGACTGGATAGCAGTAAACCACCATTTATGTACTTTTGACTGAATGGATATGTAAGAACTGGAAAGGATTATGAAACTAGCCGGTGCCCATTAGTAATCTGCAGCTATATGCCCACCAACTGCAGTTCAGATGATGCAAAGGATGAATTCGAAGAGAAGCTGTCAATTTCGCTACAAAAAGATGATGAAATCATATTAGGCGTACAGTTGTGCCTGATCTTCACACTCTTCAAGTTTCAGGACAAAATATATAGACAAACAGAAGGATTAGCAATGACATCCCCAATTTCCTCAATGACAGCAGATATATTTATGGATAGTTGGGAAAGCATGGTGTTACAAACGTTGAGTCCTGCACCTAAGAAATGGTGGTGATATGTGGATGACGCCTTTACTGTATTGAAATCGGAATATATCGACAATTTCCTCATACATATAAGCTCAGTAGTAGGCGCGGTCCAATTCACTTACGAGGTAGAAAATGAACAAGGAGAATTATCTATGCTGGATTGCAGGATAAAACGAAGGATAGACGGTGGTTTGAATACTACAATCTACACACAAGAAACGAAATAATAACAATAACATAAGTAAGAAAAACAACGACAACACGAATAGAAAGGAGTCCAAAGCACCCATTGTGTTACCCTATAAAGAAGGTACATCAGAAACTTTATGTAGGGTTATCAATCAGGCTGGAATTAGGGTGACATTCAAACCTACAAACTCACTCAGAGATAAACTTTGTCGGCTGGTTTAGGGATTCGATAGGACCAATTCAGCAAAATATTCTAATTTATCAAATTCCATGGAATGACTGTCAGGTCATCAAGTACATGCGTGAAACAAGCCGGTCGGAGTCAGTTAGACAAGCAGAACATAGGTATTCAGCTGAATACAGAATCACAGACCCAAATAAGATCAGTAATCCATAAAAATACTCCGCTATTGCAATGCACACATTAACACAACCTCACAACAAGGTAGGATAAACTCACTCTGTTGAAGTACAATATAATGAACTGGAGAAAGACAATGATTCCTGAGTCTATGTTCATCGAATCAACACCCAACAAACATAACAGAAATGAAGCCACAACCAAACAAAATATATGGAAAATTTTACTACCAATAAAAGCAAATAATATAAGGTGACAGGATTGAAAAACTCATATACCGAAAGTAGTATCATTACACTGATATGATTATCAGCTGTAACTTACATTCGAAACGTCATCAAGTAATTAACGCTGTATCACTGTGTTATAAATCAAATATACAAATATTATAGAAGTGGGTGAGACAGTTGTTAACCGAAAACCCTAAGGTAAACAAATGTGATTGCATTTCCGCAACATCATCCGAAATGACTGATACAAGAACACTGATCCAACTTGGCTATGATCATCACCAAAAGTCAAAAAAGAAACTCAAACGTAAGTTGACCAACACTCTTCATGTCCACAACGAGTTGAGGTAGGTGACGAAAACAAAACACATCGACAAAGCATCAACAATGGGTAACACTACACAACTATTTAGCCTTATCACACATACATGCCACAAAAACATCACGGTCAGTGAAACCATCACCCAAAACCATAACACCTTGATAACCTCCTACAACAAGTGTCAACAACATTAGGCACAACACTCACTTTCAAACACACTTCAACTAACCCACAACAACGCTCCACTTCACCAACATACACACTCAACCTACATCACACACACATGTCCATCCTCCAACTATCACTAAACTTAACAAACTTCCATCTTACCTGAAACAATTCTAAGCAACAGAAACTGACAGTTTCACACCTCAAGTTTACAACGTTGAATGTAGCACGTTGTCAAATAAAGTGAAAGAGGTACTAGGAAGTCGATGCAAATCACAGGCACTATAGTCAAATCCGTCTACTTCATTCATCATCTCACTCTGTAACAAGAGAGGTAAGTCTTCTTGTGACAACCAGTATACGGGAAATAACTTGACTAATATTCTATCCAACATCATACGCCTCACACTAGCATCATTTCTTCACCTCAACGTCCCATTCGACTCTCTCCACCATCAGGTCTTGTAGCAGTGTCTGACTGTGAAACCAGTACCCAACAACTAACTAACTAACTATATAATCTTCATCAAAACTCTCCACTCCAACTCACACAGCTGTGACACAGATCATGGAGACTACGCATCACAATTGACCACAACTAGCAGTCCACGCCACGGATACCCACTGTCAACGTTCCTACTCAACTTCGTCACACACACTACTAGTGAACATAACCACAGGTAAGTCTAACTTCATAACCATTGACTTACTATCCACAAGTCATCTGGTCCACGTAGAACAGTATGGAGACGATGGTCTCCTGATAGGTGAATACCCTGAAGCAACACTAAGTCTTATCAACATGTTTTGCATAAATATGAGTCTGTTTGGCATGGGTTTCATTGGCACATCTCAAATGTAAGATGATCCTCCAGAAATGGTCTACTACAAGTACTCCTCGTTTAATCATATGGAGTGAAGTGATAGAATGTGTCGAACACTTCACTTACTTAAGGAATATGCATCAGCTCGAACGAGTTGGTAGTTCACGAAATCCCAACTCGCATTCAAAAGGCTCATTTAGCATCTGACAATTTGTATCATTTGTGCCACCGACTGGCGCGACATCTGACTATCTATCAAACGACGAGTATACTGTACTGCACCCTGTTCTCTCCTGTTGTACAGCTGTGAGATATGGCCGTTCAAAGTGGATGACATGAAACAGTTACAGTTTTTCCACCATAGGTGTCCTCGTAGCATTGCTCGCGTTTGGTGGAATCATCGGGTGAGCAATGTTGATGTTAGGTGAAAGGTACTAGTCAAGAAAAATAAGTCGATCAGTGAGGTTGTGAACGTTTGTCAACTGAGATAGCTTGGATGTGTGAGCAAGCGCCTACTTTGAAGTGCGATGCTCGGGGAAGTTGGATTAGGTTGAAATAGAATTCAGGGTAGCTAAACCAAGACTTGGCGACAGTCAATGAAGCCTCTTACCGTTGATCTCCGTCTGCTGGGGAGAAGTAAATGTCTGACTAGTCTATATTAACAGTCGGTATCCACTAGATTCAGGGTTCTCATACTTCACTATCGAGTTCGATCCCAAAAACTCGCAGCAGCTAGAATCTCTCACATGGAAGTCATTGCCTAGCGAACAGTAATTGTATTTAATTACATATTCTACGTCAAGAACGTTATTAAACATTTCGCAGGTGCACAACCTACATTCCCGTTCGATTACAGGCAATGTACGGTAAATTTGTTGAGGATGAATACGCTACCAATAATTACAAATAAAAGTAAATCATGAGTGGTGAAAATATCTCACCTGAACAGCAAGACATCCATGAGGTGTCCATAAAAATACAGTATCCGAACCTGTACATAAAGCAAGTCTTGCAGAACAATTTGGATCCCACATCACTGATGAGACCTCACCACTATTATGAATAAGAAGACTAAATAAACTAAAATATCGATCAATCGACCAAATCCAAATTACATTTGAACAATTATCATTTCGTGTAGCCAAGAATCGACCATCTGATGAAAATTCTGTGAAACTAATGCCAATCTGAAAAATTAGACCAAAGAATACACATATGTATCCATTACTCTCATAGTTTAAAAACTGTAGAATTTTGCAAACGAGAATCCTAGTTCGGTGTTCTTTGCACTAAGAGGCCACCAAACCACTATCATACTCATACTGAGCTACAGATCTCTTCGATTAGGTGTAAAGGGCACTGAGAATATTTGGAATGCGTTTTCTACCAACCAAATCCAAATTATTCTTCTTGTTCTTGTTGCTTCAACTATGTCCCACTGAGGCCAACAATACAGAGTGTAGTGATTGAGTGTGTCAACCACTTCATTTACCTGAGACGTAGGATCAGTCCTGGTGGTGCTGGTGGCTCAGTCGACGATGAAATCCATCCACAAATACAAAAGGCTACACTGGCTGGCTTTCGCAAACTCACCCAACATGTGGACCCACCATCATATCCAATTGTCAATCAACGGTCACCTGTACTACATACACATCCACAGCAGTACACTCTCTTCTACTCTCTCTCTCTCTCCCTCTCTCTCTCTCTCTCTCTCTCTCTCTCTCTGTCAAACATGACCATTCAAGGTAGAAGAAATTAGACGGCTGGCTTCAAGTTTTCGACCACAGTTACACTCCTAGTATACACAGTCTCATGTGGTGTCACCACCTGAGTAACGCAGAAGTCAGGTGCAGAGTTTCACGTAGGAGAAGCAAGACATTTGATGCGGTTATCAACATTCACCGACTGAGGTGGTTGGGACATGTCTCACATTCGTCTAGCCACCGTCTGTCTCGTCACACAATCTTCACCGAAGTAACTTCACGCTGGAAAAAAGCTCAAGGCGGCCAGACTAAAACATGACACCAATGTATAAAATGCCTGACTGTTGGTTTCAGCTATGTTGCCCGATGCAGACTAGCCGGTTGGGGTCCGTGCGACAACAGAAACCAGTGGTTGGAGACTGACTCTAGACGATATGGCTCAGAACCGATGTCAGTGGTGCAGATGTATACCACTATACTGAATCTCACCATTTTCTCATTCTTCCTTTTTATCTTCTAGCATTTTATATATCTTTCAACTGAGTTTTCTTCTCTTCACCTTCCACTTCACTGCCTTTTTACTTGATGTACTGATATGAGGTGTGGCAATTCGGACCGTTACGCAGTAATGCCTGATAATACGTTGACTTGAATGGGTGGATGTAACGGAGAAATGTTTTAATGCACTTCCTGGTTTAAAGAATCCCATTCCGATAAATAGAAGTTATCACTTTAACTTCATAATTGCTTCAGACTAAATCCATCTATTTTTCTTATATACCATGTTTGAATGATAGAGCATAAGACCGTCATGTTTAGTGACTTCTGTTTCAATTTCACAAAACATTTCCCAGTTAACTGAATTGTCGTATATTATATTATTGGGTAACAAACAGTCCAACTGTCAGTACCTTACTGACACAGTAAAGGAAGTTGATACTTCTATTTTCTGAAAAAGATGTACGGAAAACATCTAAACTACTACGCTTCGCGGAAGAGATTACAATTAAACGCTTTCAGCCAGACCTATGCATACAGTAGGAGAGTGTATTCAATCTCTTACTTCCAATTCACCTTGTTCCATGTAAATTATATAATTCTTTATTTTACTCATCTACTGATTTCAAGTGATTGAGTTGATATCAACTGACGAAATATACCCATTTATTCATGAATAAGAACAAGACATGTATCAGTGAAGTAATGCTTCTTTTCAACAACTTCATTATCAAACTGTACAGTCGTATTTATACTCGGTTAAATGATGGATAATTCCACTAAAACCTTGCTCAGTCAATATGCAAAATATACAACTGGCGGTGGTGGTGGTATTTGTTCAAGTAGAAGAAATAGAAAATGAGTCACTATGACTAAGGAAGGACGAATTGATAACAAGTGGTGAGATAGGAGACACATGCAGTCAAAGAGTTATAAAACGATGATAATTCAACCGAAGCATGCAAAATGGGTTAATGAATAAGGAACGGTTCTATATTGGTCTTGTTAACTAGCAGAGAAATCCAGGACGCGCGTTTCATCCTATTTGGGACTCATCAGCTGGATTTCACCTCCACCCCAGTGAGTGATACTGTTCCCACTGAGGCTTGAACCTAGCACCCTCCGTTTCAAACGCCAAATGCGTTATCAACTAAACAACTGGAGCACGATAACCACCTCTTGTGTAACGGTTGTCAGTTATTGTAATGATATTCGTAATTTCCTGTTGCTATACGGGGCCGAATTGCTCGACCCCTGTTGGCAGATAAGCTCCTATGCGGACGCCTCGATACTGCCGGATATTCATGATCTTGGTGAATAACAGAGGAATCCAGGACGCGCGTTTTGATATGAAATAGTGAAATATCGGTCAAATGTTGTCAATGAAGTGAAAATTGATGATGATGATGATGATGATAATAAAAGACAAGTATACCAAAGTGAAGTGAAATGAAATTGAAAAAATAATCAAAATGAATTGTTAAGGCCAAGGTAGAGAAAGTGGTTTCACGAAAAGCTTTTGAATGTAAAGTTCCGGTTTCTTGTTCATGTATACCTAGTGCTTCAGCTACGCATAAGTGGTGGGAACATAAACCTTTGAAGTAGTTCAATTTAACGATGTAAATCACCTTAAAGGATGAATCTCGAGGTGCTGAATTACCTAACTCCACTAGGCATTCATATATGGATGAAGTTGTTTTTCTTCGTTCACCTTTCGTAAGACAAATCGGGTAATGTTCAGCAACACGTTTTCGGAGGGTCCGCTTACAACGTCCAATATAGTCAACTCCACACACATACACATAAGTTGGAGCCTATCCTTCACGTGTTGTCGGATCACACGGCAGATGGAGAAAATCAATCTCAGTCTAGCAGCATAAAAGCTACTATTGATACACCTTGACAGACGGCTTTTCAGCACTTCAGCTGTAATGTCTCCTTTGAATTCCAGATTCTTGGTTAAGATTTTCTTATGAATGGAAATAAGATGAGAAGTGATTCGTTTCTCCAGATTTTTATCAATAAATCTTTTAGGGTATCCGTTATTAGATAGTTTTGTTCTAAGAGTTTCGTCTCCTCTAAACAGATTTTATAGATTCTGGAAGACAACAAGTGTATGAGATTTCTTTTACAATTAAGAGGTATCCAACTAATAAAGTTAGTGAACTGGCCGGTCCAAGTTCGTTTGCGATAGACTGACCTTTCAACCGAGGCATCATTCCTTCTCTTTAACATTACATCTAGAAAGTGGGACGTTGATTTTAACTCTTCTTCTACAGTGAATTCGATAGACGAGTGACTATCATTGAATCGTCTTAGCAGCTCGTCTACTGAACAAGTTTCGTCATAAATAAGAAAAGTATCGTCAATGTACCTTTTATATAAATAAAGTTCCAAGATGATTTCTATAAGTGACCAATCTTCAAGCTTTGCCATAAAGATATCAGCCACGACAGGGCTTAGTGGAAACCTCATTGTCACTCCATCAGCCTGATTATAAACCATATCATCAAATCTGAACTATACATTAAACGTACATCTTAATATCAGTTTTTTTAGGTGGCTCGTAGGTAATCCAATGTTAATATTATTAGAATCAATGTAATCATATAGATAACAAACGATTTCAACAAGTAGGATATTGGTAAGTTGATCACAATCTAATGAATATCATTTCTTTAGATGTTAAGCAATCTGTTGTTAGACTAGTAATAATTGTTCCTTTTCTCACACTCTCCAACCCCTCTGTACAATTGTTTTACTTTTTATTATATATTATAAGAATTAACAATGATTTGATGTACAACTGATGATATTTGACTCCCTAATTTTTACAGTACCTCATGTGTTAATAAACCATTGTAAATTTAGACTGTATGCAGCTGAGGAATATTCATGAAATAAAATGATATCGACTTATCCTACAAATCTAATCCTTCTTATTTTGTATCAATAAAAATGGTTTTAAAATGGAATAGATCTAAGGAACCAGATAGAGACAAAATCAGTGTAAAACTTTGCACACAAGTGTATCGACTAAAGTTGTTACACTTGACCCTCAGGATGCAAAGAACAAATGGATCTAAAAAAAGACTATTATTATCAACAAAGCTGAATGGACGAAGAAACAATTTACAGATGAAGGTTAATGAGAAGATCCCAGGTTCAGAAGAAGCTATAGACTGAATACATTTGTACCATTGTGACCTATTTTCAGTTATTTCATAAGGAGACTGAAACCATTCAGGAAGTCTACATCTCCTGACATGGTTTAGATCACCAAAAAAGGACTTCATAAACTGGTGCTATGCCCTACTCTGGTAACCATGAACCTTCTTCCAATCTAATCCGATTTCTTCTAGTATCACATAACCAGGCAGGCAATTGCTGAGGATGAGCATGCCATATGTATCCAAGCCACTTCAGTGGCTGAAAGTTCTCTGCTTCATTACAACCATCCCATGCTGAACCTCTATATTGCTCACAAGCTTATTCCATCATACATGAGCAATGCTGAAAAGACACTTGTTGTGAAAAATCTCTGATCTGTTTAAAACTTATAACTTCAACAAACATGTCCCATAGCTGCATAATAGGAGAGAAAGGCCTGCAGAGCAGTATATTCATGCTCTGATAGATGGTCAGATATCTCACAAAAACCAGAAATGAAGTAATTTGATCAAAGGTTAGACAAGAGTTTTGTATCAGAGCTGAGATTATATCAGCAACCAACCAACTCCCCTCAGTTAACACATATGTTCATCAGAATTATTGCATACTAGCTAAAATTAGATAACGAAATAACCATATGTTCGTAATAATAATAATAATAATAATAGTAATAATAATATAACAATTACAAACAAAATAATGAAATTATTATTCACTTTCGGAAATGCTTTCTTAGGATCTGGTTGTTTTGACTCAATAATGACTGGATTATTTATTAATTTATATTGAACATTAGACGATGACATATGATTACTACTCAAATTTGTCAAGAAATCTGAAGAACTCCTTGTATATATTTCTTCATAGATATGAATACAATTTATTCGATGTGTTGTACATTCCCCATCATTTTTATTACTGATATATACAGGATGACCAGTTGGACTAAGTCCTAATGAAGGATCTATTGATACATCAACAGGATGTTTTAGACAAGCTAAACAAGTCCAATTGAAACTGTTCAGTATACGACACTTTTCATCATAACTTGGTAGAAAACAAAAGAGAAAGACAAAAAGAAAAAACAAACACTGTAGACAGATTGTGATATTATTATTAAAGATTCTTTACTGAAGTCATCAAAAACAAGATAAAATGAGCTTAATAGTACAGGACAAGTAGTACGCTTGTTCCTTAAGCTAAATTACTTACTATACGCCACTATTGAGTTATTCTATTTGCAACCAACTAACACAAGAATAACAATATCTATCAGTAAACTGAGCTTCATGAAAATAAACATCAACAATAGGCATAAAATAACTTCAATTATATGATCATACTTTGGTACGATGTATTCTCAATTAAGAATTTAGCATAATGGCATTTCACTTGTTCAAAAGATTTGACATAGTGAAATCCACACGGAAATAAACACACTTTCAAACATTTAGTTATACTGGTTTCAATGTTATAACATGTTAATCTCCGTCGCTCGTTCGACCGTACTGATTAAACCCTATTCCCATATGAACTAGTGTGACATAAAGTCTTCTGTTGAAACAACGGTAAAGAAAATTGGTAACCTACAACCGGAAGTTGACAAACGTCACTCGATTCCCACAACATCATCCAAAATGACTGATACAAGAACACTGATCCAACTTGGCTATGATCATCACCAAAAGTCAAAAAAGAAACTCAAACGTAAGTTGACCAACACTCTTCATGTCCACAACGAGTTGAGGTAGGTGACGAAAACAAAACACATCGACAAAGCATCAACAATGGGTAACACTACACAACTATTTAGCCTTATCACACATACATGCAAGAATAACATCACGGTCAGTGAAACCATCACCCAAAACCATAACACCTTGATAACCTCCTACAACAAGCGTCAACAACATTAGGCACAACACTCACTTTCAAACACACTTCAACTAACCCACAACAACGCTCCAATTCACCAACATACATACTCAACCTACATCACACACACATGTCCATCCTCCAACTATCACTAAACTTAACAAACTTCCATCTTACCTGAAACACTTCTAAGCAACAGAAACTGACAGTTTCACACCTCAAGTTTACAACGTTGAATGTAGCACGTTGTCAAATAAAGTGACAGAGGTACTAGGAAGTCGATGCAAATCACAGGCACTATAGTCAAATCCGTCTACTTCATTCATCATCTCACTCTGTAACAAGAGAGGTAAGTCTTCTTGTGACAACCAGTATACGGGAAATAACTTGACTAATATTCTGTCCAACATCATACGCCTCACACTAGCATCATTTCTTCACCTCAACGTCCCATTCGACTCTCTCCACCATCAGGTCTTGTAGCAGTGTCTGACTGTGAAACCAGTACCCAACAACTAACTAACTAACTATATAATCTTCATCAAAACTCTCCACTCCAACTCACACAGCTGTGACACAGATCATGGAGACTACGCATCACAATTGACCACAACTAGCAGTCCACGCCACGGATACCCACTGTCAACGTTCCTACTCAACTTCGTCACACACACTACTAGTGAACATAACCACAGGTAAGTCTAACTTCATAACCATTGACTTACTATCCACAAGTCATCTGGTCCACGTAGAACAGTATGGAGACGATGGTCTCCTGATAGGTGAATACCCTGAAGCAACACAAAATCTTGTCAACATGTTTTGCATAAATATGAGTCTGTTTGGCATGGGTTTCATTGGCACATCTCAAATGTAAGATGATCCTCAAGAAATGGTCTACTACAAGTACTCCTCGTTTAATCATGTGGAGTGAAGTGATAGAATGTGTCGAACACTTCACTTACTTGAGGAATATGCATCAGCTCGAACGAGTTGGTAGTTCACGAAATCCCAACTCGCATTCAAAAGGCTCATTTAGCATCTGACAATTTGTATCATTTGTGCCACCGACTGGCGCGACATCTGACTATCTATCAAACGACGAGTATACTGTACTGTACCCTGTTCTCTCCTGTTGTACAGCTGTGAGATATGGCCGTTCAAAGTGGATGACATGAAACAGTTACAGTTTTTCCACCATAGGTGTCCTCGTAGCATTGCTCGCGTTTGGTGGAATCATCGGGTGAGCAATGTTGATGTTAGGTGAAAGGTACTAGTCAAGAAAAATAAGTCGATCAGTGAGGTTGTGAACGTTTTTCGACTGAGATGGCTTAAACTGGTGCTGAGCATGCCAAGCCACTTACAAACTCGACGTGCGATGCTCGGATAAATTGAATTATGATGGAAAGTGGCTCAGGGTAGCCAGACGAAGACATGGTAACAGTAGATGAAGTCTCTTGCTGTTGGCTTGAGCCACATAGGGAAATGAGGACTGCCTGATTGGGGTCCCTGACAAGAAAAATATCAGTGATTGAGGACTGTTGGCGACATTGTTGAGAATTGGTCACAACAGCATAGATTTATTCACTAGTTTACATCCTAATTTTGAATATTCACACTAAGCTTTATTTTCTCACCCTACTTTATCTAGTTTGGTATCACTCCTTTTCTATCCACCTGTTCTTTATGTACTTCTGTGAAGTGTGTCAACTTGAGACGATCCACTTCTGTGGAAGGTTTTACATTGATCTTTTCAGTCATATGAAATGTCGTGCAGCAATATTGCTTGTATTTCCAGTTTTGATTTTATTGATGAATAGTGGCTATCAGTTGGTGGGAACATCCAGGTAACGAATATCAAACAGAACAAAATCCGCGTTTTGAATTCCACTACAAACGATTATCCATCATCAACAATCGGTTATAATGTTTGATCATTTACATTTTCTTGCACAACTGTGAATTACAGGTGATATCTCTTACTTCCATAACAGCATCTTTCTTCTAACTTGCTTCTAACTTTTGTTCCCCATCAATTTGCTCTATATTTAAAGACATGATGTATCTATCTCATTCACTGAATGTTAAATATTGCAATCACTAGTAATAAGTCACTTACTCACCAGTCAATGGAAGAATTAACTTCAACATACTTGACTAGGATTTAAGCCAGGGTTAACTAATGCTACAGAAGTAAACATGATAAAGCAATTATCGCTATAATATAGCATTCCAAGTCAATGATAACAACTCATGGTCACAAGACAAAACTTCAAACTACAAGTAAGCATCCTGACACTATATGCATAATACATACTGAAGAATGATAATAGCACCATCCTTTGGGTTCATAAAAAGATCTATCAAGTGATGAATTCTACCAAGACCAATACAACAACATAAGTAGGCACAACAATCACTATCACTGAATCAGGTGAGAATATAAACTAGTTGCCAAGCGTCATTCTGCATTGTGAATATCTACAACATATAGTTAGTTGAACCTCGGATGGATGGATATGAAACGCTTGATCAATTATTTAAAAGTGTTATCTCAGCCAATGAGCCACAGATTACAGACTACTCAGACATCAGCTAGGTGATCAACTAAAGTACATGACCTTCAATAAAAATATATTTGGATTCCATAAAGCTCCTCTAATGTCATCGTTTACATTCGTGATTGGCACTAGAACTGTGGAAATTGATTTGCCAGTGAGGAAAATATAGTGGTAGTACGCTTGTATATGATGAAATTGTCATGTGGCAAGGAGTAGACGCTGTGTATTATAGTGGGAATTAAGATAAAACGTTTGAGGTAAGAAATCTCATCGACTTAGATAGCTGAGATATACGTCATACATGTCAAGTCCTCTCTCAATCTTCCATTTCAACATACAGTGTGTTACCTAGGTTAAGAGAACGAATGACGTCGTCAAGTACAACACTAGTTCATGAAGATTTAGATGGTTTATCCCCAAATAGTATAACCTCAGATACATTCAGACCTTATCTCTTCCTAAATTGTCTAGCATCACTATTTTCACTTCTTTCACCACCCTCTTTCCATTCAATGTGCCAATGTGAAAATAGAAAACTTCGAGTGAAGTGCAATTACTCCATGTCCCAAGCCTTTAATATTTGTCTACAGTTGAATTACTTGAAATGAAAGAAACGCTTGCCAATAATAATACCTGGTTATTGTCACTGTTACCTCTCCATTAAGGTGATGTTGTAAATATCCTGTTACACTGGAAATTGTGTAATAATAAAAAAAACAACAGTGCATATTATGTTCCAATAATACTCAGACATCATGCGCTTTCATTTTATAAGATAACCAGAGTTAATTGCTTCAATTAACCAAGACAACAGCCTAAAATGAAGAATATTTGCAAACTAGCTTCCTTCTTAGTTTGAATCTTCTACATCAATTCACGCATGATATTGCACAAACTTGTGTTCTGAATTCCATGTAGTTGTTAACCAGTTAATATTAACATGTAACCTGATATTACTACGGCATTACTTCAAGTTGCTACACCTTAATATCAACAAATTTTATGTAATCCAAACATCTTAGCACTTTTATCTCTAGTACAACTGAACAGATTTATTCATCCTGGTTTGCATACATTACAAATAAATGTAATCACATGTAAGAGGTTGCATGCTACCTACCAGTAATCAAGCGTTTTATGATTTAATACTTCATGCATTCTCCTCGTGATGAACATCAAGAACTTTAAAACTGAACAGCTGACAAAAGTTGAAAACCCTCAATTATCTAAAAGGCTTTCTATTCGAACACTTGTGGGCGTGTTAGAGCCTATGGTGAGATATCCGGAGAGCTGTACTCATAGAGCGGTGTCCGTCGATGGTGCCCACTCTCTCCATTCTTATTCAATGTCATCATAGATATTCTTATGTAGGTCTCCCTCTTGTCACCTCACTACATAAACGTTGACCTAGTCGCAGGAGAAATTTCGCTAGACCTAGAATATGCAGATGACATAGTCGTGTTACGTGAAGACGCTGACAAGGTGCAGAGTCTTCTGAACACTGAGTGGCAATTCGAGAATGTTTCGGGTGCGTTTCCTACCAACCAAATCCAAATTGTTGTTCTTGTTCTTGATCTTGTTGCTTCAACCATGCCACACTGTGGCTAACAATACACAGTGTAGTGATTGAGTGTGTCAACCACTTCATTTACCTGAGACGTAGGATCAGTCCTGGTGGTGCTGGTGGCTCAGTCGACGATGAAATCCATCCACAAATACAAAAGGCTACACTGGCTGGCTTTCGCAAACTCACCCAACATGTGGACCCACCATCATATCCAACTGTCAATCAACGGTCACCTGTACTACATACACATCCACAGCAGTACACTCTCTTCTACTCTCTCTCTCTCTCTCTCTCTCTCTCTCTCTCTCTCTCTCTCTCTCTCTCTCTCTCTCTCTGTCAAACATGACCATTCAAGGTAGAAGAAATTAGACGGCTGGCTTCAAGTTTTCGACCACAGTTACACTCCTAGTATACACAGTCTCATGTGGTGTCACCACCTGAGTAACGCAGAAGTCAGGTGCAGAGTTTCACGTAGGAGAAGCAAGACACTTGATGCGGTTATCAACATTCACCGACTGAGGTGGTTGGGACATGTCTCACATTCGTCTAGCCACCGTCTGTCTCGTCACACAATCTTCACCGAAGTAACTTCACGCTGGAAAAACGCTCAAGGCGGCCAGACTAAAACATGACACCAATGTATAAAATGCCTGACTGTTGGTTTCAGCTATGTTGCCCGATGCAGACTAGCCGGTTGGGGTCCGTGCGACAACAGAAACCAGTGGTTGGAGACTGACTCCAGACGATATGGCTCAGAACCGATGTCAGTGGTGCAGATGTATACCGCTATACCGAATCTCACCATTTTCTCATTCTTCCTTTTTATCTTCTAGCACTTTATATATCTTTCAACTGAATTTTCTCCTCTTCACCTTCCACTTCAATGCCTTTTTACTTGATGTACTGATATGAGGTGTGGCAATTCGAACCGTTACGCAGTAATGCCTGGTCCTATGTTAATAGACGATGATACTAAATGACATATACACCAATCACTAATCGATGAGATATCAACCTCGCTTTGGGATTCTCATAAGTGCCAAATGAATACATCCAAATGAAGTTTCTTCAACGACAACCAAAACCAACGACTTTATATACACTGGCATCAGTCAGCAAATCTTAAAGAAGCTCGGTATTATTATCATTAAAACCTGAAAACATCTGAACTGATGAAAACTGCTGTCTTTAGTGAATACCCACCTTTCTATGTAAGTAATGCACCTGAGCATCAAACTAACAAAGATGAATTTTAGGAAGTGTTCATAGATGAGAAGGATTTAAAACAGTCTGGTGTTTATCATTCTTAACTCCATGACTTTTACTGATGCAAATTCAATGGATCATACCTTATGTTGATCCCGGTTACACAACGCACAGTCGTGGTATAAAACATAAGAGCTAGGAACGACCGATCAATAATCAACTGCCTCGCAAAGAATCTAGTTAAATAATGATGAAGCAACAGACCATCAAATTGCACGAAGAACAGGATACAAGTAAAGACCTTTATATATATATATATATATATATATATATATATATATATATATATATATACTGTGTTATTATTGTTTTTCCCTTGGGTTCCTAATGGAACATAGGGCTTCAGTAGCACGCCTTCAGTGCTCTCTGTTCTCTGAAACCTTTTGAACCTGGCTCCACGACAGCCCAGGAGCTCTCATTTCCTCCTCGCACGATCTCCTCCATGTCACCCTCGGACACCCAAACTTGCTATATTACAAATTATCAAGAACTAATATTTAACATTTAAAAAATGCCTAGATAGGAGATCACGTAAATCGATGGTTACAGACTATCAGTGGTATGGTTTACAATTCATTGCAGCGGTGCACATGCAACTACACGCTATCTTGCTCCCAAACGTTATATCGTGCTTTTTATGGTTTTACACTACTTTCCTGTCTTCTTTTGTAACTTTACACGGTCTCTGGTTACGTTTTCCCCTTACACCTTGTCGCCTTGTATCTTGATGTGACGTATCAGGTAAGACAACTTAGAAAGTTTCGCATTACTGTCGAGACCCATCTTTGTAGTGACTGATTGATAGCAGGTTATTCACAGACAAATCTAACTAGTTTCGTTTTTGCTTCCTATGCAGTATAAGTAGTAGTTATTATAAGAACCACAATATATCCTTGTTGTAAAGTTAAATAAATGGGCAATTCATATAACAAAAACAATTATGAAGAAAGGAACTCACCTTCCTATTGCTAGCAACTGCCCTGTAGGAGACCATGATACAGACTTTATGCCTAACATCTGATTTGACTCATAAGCGCAATATGTACACAGATGTTTTCCATCAACACGATATACAACTGCTTTGTATCGTAAGCAGTTATCCCATACAACAATAAAAAGTCCGTCTGGAGACCATAAAATATTCTCAGCATCGTTAGTATCCAAAGTTATATTCCAAAGTAGGGTCCATTGAAGTCGACAGTCAAATAAACTCAAATGGTCCTCAAAATTTCGGCGTTCAAGTAGAGCCAGATAACGACCACCCGGACAAAAAGCTAAGTTATTTTCGCATCCCTAGATAAATCAAATGCAACAATTGGAGTGATAGACAAATATCAATCAAGCACATCGAACTTTCGCAGTGACTGACCGGCTAGTGAACACAAGAAACTGTCTACTAACCTAAGCTAGTCATACTTTTACACTGTGTATTTCGTAAATTGCAACCATTTTATACCGTCATTTCAAAAACCAAAATTAGGTGAGTAACAACCGTGACTGACAAAATATTCCAAAATAGAACGAAGCCTGGTTTCTCAAATAAGTTGGCAAAATACTCAATTATATTATATAATCGAATAGAATATGAATCAGTAACTCTAACACTTTGACCGTTCCTGACCTAGTTTGAGTTATTCAGTTGTGAAAACGCTAAACACCTCATTAACAGCGAATATATGGCTCCTAAGTCTTATAATACGATACAAAGTTCTATACACCTTGAATGTGTTGATTTTTATGAACAGGAATGAATATTCAATACCAAGCAACTTTCATAGGATTCCATAACGGCGTGAAACTAGAACATTAAATCCGTTAAAAGCAGTTAGTAACAGAATCACAATATAAAACTTGACATTTCTGAGTAACTGTACAAGTTGTAGCACCTCAAATAGAGACGTAAAAACGGGAAAGACAGAGAAACATAACAATGATACAATCTAAAGTCGTGAGAGCCATGATATGAACTAAGCAGAGGGTAAGGATACATGAAAAATGTGATGTAGTGAATAAGATGAAGATAAAGAGAAGGTGCATCTACGCCACTAAGATCGATTTTGAGCCCCATCACAAAGAGTAACCCGCTATCAGTTTATGTTGTGTCATCATGAAATCAAATCTAAAAGTCTACACTAATCTCCGTAGCTCAGATTAACAACATAAAATTAATGCAACTATCGAGCATTTAAGTCTGGTCGCCTTAAGCCTTTCCTGTTCAGGAGACATTTCTTTAACTTAATCCCACTTTAGGAAACAAGGCGAATCGGAGCAGACGGCGACTCAGCATGGGTAACGCATCCTAAGCCATGAAGGTCTACAACATTATTCAACTAGCTTACCTCCTCTACCTATAAATCTGTACTTAATTTCTGTGCTGTTCATGTGGTCATTTATTATTTTAATCATATAAAACACAAAATGAGTACATCACGAAGATCAAGAGAAACAAAATGATTTAGCAACACTACGAAGGTAAAAACAAGAAAGAGAATGAGAAAAAGGAACGGAAACAAAAATAGAAATGAATTATTCGAGAAGTAGTTTCGAAAATACACCCATTACTCTCCTTTCACTTTTCAGTAAAAGGAGAAACCAGAAAACTGTAACAGGATTGTCACTAGTTTCGATTGCCAGCCATCCCTGCTATCTTTTCAAACCACTGAGCTGTGTGAAGTCTCGAATCACTTACAGGGAGTAGTCAAGTTCTAACAGATACTGACCTAACACAAATTCACTCCACAAGATGCCAACACGCCATACGCTGACTATCCCCTGCTTCTTCTAACCAGTCCCAGAGCAAGCTAACAGTGGACGGTTTGGGAGCTAATGCGATGATATTTATGAAATATGTGTAGGCCACCGAACCAGTTTATTCAATCAATGATGATCTCCATCATCTCTAAACAGACTGCCCCACCTCAGAATCAACTGTGATTTTCATGACCACCACTTGCTGCTTACTAAAGCATGATCAGAGTTCATACAAATGCTCCAGAAGTAGCGACAGTTATAAATACTACAACACAACACGAGCTAGTTGCGATGTAACCTATCTGAGCCTAAGCTTCAGTGGCAGAAGTATGTCAAGTGATACAACGGCAATGACTGTTTTGGAAGTCGGTGCTAGCTAGAAATAGGTTGCCATCTGCACGAAGCTGTGTACTATACCCATTATCAGACCTGCAACCAACTAATCTCAACTGAACACCTAAACTATGCATCTACACTCACCTATCATGTACACTTGTTAGAAGCTGAAATCCATACAGCAACCTTGTACACATTTGTGTGGTATGCAATGAGATATACAAACTGTGTGAAGGCTAATAATACCACCTGAACGCTAAAAACTCAGCAGGTGAAGCTGCGTTCAAACCGGTGACGCATCACGTGGAAACCACGTGCCTAGACCAATGACCCGTAGCTCCATGTACCTTTTCCAAGGAACGTCACGTTTTAGCCGGCCAAAACGGCCTTGACTGTATCTGGGATCCATTCCGTTGAAGCAAAGGCAGAGACCATGAAGAGACGCTGTCTCATCTACACTTTAATTCAAATTACAATTTTATCTTCTAATAGAACACAGCCAACTGTTAGTGGGGTGTAGTCGATTAGTCAGATGGGCGGATAAAACCAACGTAATATCATGTACAGAAGTACATCCGTCTAAGCTGTCCTACTTCACACAAATATGCAAACAACAACTGAATAGAAAAAGAGTGACACCAAAGACATCAATGCGTGGATAAACCTGAGACAGTAACCGATTTTCGGCCATATCATCAAAGGTCTACAACCATTGGTTCCTGCTACCTTGACGGCTTTAATCAGGCAGTCTATACCTCCCTATATGGCCCAAATCAACAGTCAAAAAATTCATCAACTGCCGCCACATCATGGTCTGGTCTCCATAATTCTAATCCTAATGTGGCTAGCATTGCACGTTAGAATAGGAGGTGGCCCAGCATATGCAACACATGTCTGAGCCACCCCAGTGGCAGAAGATTCTCTGCTTAGTCGACCAACTTGAATCTCATGCTTAGTACTCTTTATATAACCCTGAGGTAACACATAGTGGTTCCACCACATTTTTATGAAGTGACCACTCCTTAAACCTTTGACTTGTAGTCTGAGTAGGTGCTGCATTTCCATGGCTACCGGTGACCAACATAGATAGACGGACAGAATCAACTCGCCCACAAGTGCATCAGTTCAAGTTGCCACAATTCACAGTAGTATAAAAGAAACAGGTGGGTAGAAAAAGACTGATATCAAAGTCGACCAAGTTGTATGATAGAATAAGCGACTTGGAGATAAAGCTTAGTACGAATATTCAAGCTTTAGAAGACTTCAATACGTCGTTCATCCTTGCTGGATCTTATGCTTACGTGCATCACTGGTTTGAAACTAAGGCTTGACAACTGTCCTGGTGAACCCTCTATGTTCACCGATCCCATACTATCACCGGAAATATGGTAGTTACACTGTTGAAAACGACAAGAAGTCATAAAGTAGAAATTCCAATGATAGACAGTGACTGCCATGTACTGATCTTTGTGAATGACAAAGGACTGAAAAAGTAATCAATGTGTTACTTAATAAATTATTACCATCATAGCTTGAACTTCGCGAAGAATCCTTATTTGGGACCAAAAATGTATACCTTATCCAGAAGATAATATAATATTGATTTCAGGGACAAGTTTTTGTAAACTCATTTAATAAATAATTGATAGCTGTACAGCTGATGATAGGCCTGGTCTGTTGGCTTAGTGAAAGCTCTATTTATTGTTCACCACATACTTATCCGATAGACGAACTGGAGAGACATTTGACCAAACACCTATTGATTATTTTTGCATCGACTAGATTGCCTGAAACAATAGTTTCCTGTTAAAGTATCAGAGTTTATATCAGGCCAGACTGAAGTCAACAACAATCTATCTTAGTTCAGCAGGTAGTGAGCCACACCTATTGTATAAGGATTACGGATACTAACTGCACGCCTAAATCTCGGTGGCTGTAGAGTATTTCGAACTCGTTCGTCATTACATAGAATTCAAATGCCTAAACCAATGAGCCACAGCTGTTTGGATCACACAAATTCAGTGCTTGGTGATATACAAAAATACAATCCGTGCTTTTTGAACGTAGGTTATGCAGTTCAAGTTTTAGGTGGTACTAACCGCTGCTGCTTGTTTATGATTCTACCAAGTAAACAGTGCAGTTACCTATGCCGTACTCGGACTGTAAATGGGTGCTGAGCAACTACACCGTAACTATAGGCCTTTCAGACTTCTTCCAGACGTTTCTGTTCTGCTTAGAAGAAACGCAACTTCACCGAGAATTGTCCCAACAATTATGACCATTCGAGACTAATTTACGCACCCATTCCCAAAGGCTACCAATTACTACCGCAAAACAATAACATGTTTTTTCCTCTACTCATCACTGCTTCCACTCACTATAGAAACTCAGATGTTATTTATCCCAAAACGACTTCTACTCTCCATATTCGTAAAGAAATAAACCAGCGTTTAATAAACTAATAAACGAGGATTAAGTATCAGAGCTGAGCAGATGACTAAAATTTAACTAACAGCATCGTGAACTATTTTGAAAGCTGCATTAAGTTCTTCCAGTTTTAGCCAGAGGTGAAGGTTCATGACCAAACTATGGAACGTTTACAGTTTCCCACTACCACCCATTACACGCTCTTCTATTGACAATGGCACAGGCACCTCAAGGTACATATCTCTTCCTCTGCTAATTTATTTCCAGGTCTCGACCGGTATATCAGTTAGTCCCATACTCATTTCACACTTACAGCCGAGCTTCGAGGACGACTCGCAAATGTCCCGAAATCATCACTTTTTTCTTTCCTCAGTTACAGCTAAGCGAAATTATACTAGGAATATAATGACTCCACTAATGATATGGTTCTGACATATCATTACTGACATTGGCTTCACGTGAAACATATGGCTCATATATAATCAAGGAACCGGAGACATTGCAGCAGTCAACTTCAGTGAACGGACCATAACAAATTTTTGGATGACTTACGCTCTTCATCGATCTTGTTTGATTACCAGTTCTCAAAACGGAGTTGTAAACTGATTTTCTTTGATACCTAACGATTTTAATGTGTATAGGAATATATTAACAATTTTTAGCACCAATATTTTGCTGTACTGGAAAGTAAGATCGGGAAACAAGGACCATATTAAGAGACAAAAGCTTACTTTCGGAAATTTAAGATAAGAAATTGAAACTTCTGATACTGACCAGACGGTTATTCTCAAATGAAAATCCGTTGTTGTTAAAAAGTGTCTGCTATCTGGAGCCCATGTAGCACTAAGAAGTCCCGAAGAACCTTCGTCTACTTTACACGTCCATTCCGGGTTTTCGAGAGAAAATACCTGCTAAACCTGACGAAATAAAATGGCAATACCTGAACTATGCCACGATTTTTCAAAATGCTCAGAACAAATAAACAGTCTTCAGACCATAATAAACCATCAACTATGTCCACACAGCTGAATATTTGAAATATTTGGAGTGTGTTAGTTATATGAACAAAAACTTTGTGCTGAGAAGCAGAAGCGATGTAAATGCCATTCGAGGAAGGAGTAACAAGATTCCTTGAAACCTCCACTACATCCGAAAAGTTCATCCAGAAGCAGTAAGATTCAGAGAAGTTCTTATCAAAACAGTCAACAAACCGCTAATCCTCGTTCAAATGTAACGACTAGCTGTTTCTACTTTTTCTTCTGGGCTGTAAGGAGGTTGTTACAGATTAGTGAGGGAAAGAGTATGCATACTTTTGGTGGTAACAGTCCACTCAGCTAGCACGACAATCTAGAACAGAAAAAAAGAGAATCATGTTCCAACGACTCAGCAAAAGTAAGTCACTTTATCACATTCAATAACAAAACATATCGAGAAAGTTTTTCAATACATAACAAGGAAACGAAGCAATGTGTAGATTGAAACAGCGAAAAAAAGATATCTAATTATATGTCTTAAGATTTCGAATGATTCCAAAGAGCATCAAGCAACAACTGAGATGACCTACTGGTTTCTTTTATTTTGATCCTAAAGTAAGTTTCGTCATCGAATAAAATAAATTCACTGGTTATTTTACAGTTGTCAAGTTGGAGGTTAAAACTACTCGAACTTTCAAATGCGTTAACCTTTACTGCGCACTGATTTGTTTACTAGCAACAGACAACTCAAGTACAAAGTCCAACGTCCTATATCCAATATCTTTTTAACGAGATTGTACAAACCAGTTGATTTCTTCGTGCTCACTTCTTGGTCTTGCGGAACGGCTCCAGATCTTCGGCGGATTCCGATGCAGTAGATCCAGCCACTCGTCTGCTATAGCTCTGATTTACAGAACAGAAAGTTAAGTGTTGGTTTGTTTGCCTTGGACTGTGGTGCAGTTGGCTTCTTCAGATGTCGGATTGCCAGACAGTTGTTCGGACTGGTCGCTGCAGATGGTAAGGGATAGTGAAGAGAAAACCTAGAAAGTGTTTGTGTGGGTAAAAGAAAAGAGGAAAAGTGAACTGATGAAGTAATCTCCTTACACCCAAGTAAGGTGAGTAGAGGTGTAAAGGTATGAAGAACTTAGGTAAGTGAGGCTAACTTATGGCAAGTGAAAGGGGTGAAAAGGGCTTGAATGGTTACAATAGAAAGAAAACTGGTTGGGGTGGCTTGACATCACTTCGTGTTCCAGCTATGCACGGGTTGACCGTGAGTCTCTGCATGACTGTCCAGCCTCTTCTTAAAGCTTTCAACAGTTGGGTGGAGACCACCTCTGCTGACTGTGCGTTCCAGTACTCACAGACTCGGAGAGAGAAGAACTGTGAACGCACATGCATTTTTGACCTTTGGTGGGCTACTCTATTTGGGTTTCCTCGAGGATCTCCGTAGCGGCCACTCGGTAGGACTCCTCTGTTTGGGTGACTTGGGTTGCTCAACATCAATAGTAGGAGCAGAGGAAACTTACAGCTTTTGAGCTCTCGTTTCTATGCCCGAGGCTCAGTTCTTTTTTGTTGGGTTGTACTCCTTCGGTGGTGGCAGAAGTCTTTACGGTCTTCTTGCTCGGTTTGTTCTGTGGTGTAGCATGTTACGGGAGCATAAACTCTGAAGCTATCTGGACAGTTCTTTTACATTAACAGTCGGACGCAGGAGCTATGGAATTTGTATTCACATTTAGGTAGCTTTATCGACTTGTACACTAATGCACGACGTTGCAGGGATTCCTCTTGGGTGAACTTGACAGACACAAAGGCCAACCACCAAATATTCTTACTTTTTGTATACCCACGAGTTTCAGATCAAGAAACAATACAATAGAGTAGCCAGATGAAATGATGCACTGATGGCCAGTTTCAAATTACCGATGCGTTCCGACTAGTTGGCTGGAGGACCACATGACCTGAAAATGTGCCAAATGGCATAGATGCTTGACCGCATGCCCTAAGCCTTGTATGTCCACTAAAACTATAAGCGTCAGCATCAATACTGGCTCATGGGTTAATGAGTTTGGCCCTTACCTCACTCCAACTTTGAGTTCGTGAAGACCCTAAAACAACGCCACCCAAAAGTAAAAGCCCAGTGCTCTCAACACCAGTAAAACTCTCCTGGTAGGATCACCGTGGAGAATGGTCCTTTGTTAACTGGACTTGTTTTGGGATGTCTTGAAAAAGATAAAACGTTGTTTTGAATTATAGGCCGGTCACGATCTCTGAGGTGCTTCGACATTCGTTCCAGCGCTTGTTGCGCCTGAGGTTGAGATAAAAGCCTCAGTCTGGATACCAGGAGAAAAATTTTACACAGACGAAAATGCGAAACATTCATACGTTACGGACAAAAACTACGAATACAATGGTTAAGGAGTTTCCGGTTTTGTTTCCTTTTTGGAAAAATGTAGGACAACACGGTAACAGAAACTGATATCACTACGGTAAACCCAAGAAAGGTTTGTATTCCTGGCAAAAAGCGGTGTCGTCCGCATTGAACAGCTCGAACTCTTATGGCGGCCTGCTTGAACTATGGGCCACCGTTTTCTATCATCGAGTATATTGCATCAAATTTCTTATTTCTATATTGTTTTAATCCTTTAATTATGTCAACCAATCGTATTGTATATTCTCGCGCGTTTTTAAAATCATTACAACCTATCGCTTCGCAAGTTGATAGGAAATTTAAGAAGAAGCACCACCGTGGATGGCAACGAGCTCTGAAGTATATGACCATAGATCAAATGACTATTCCGGAAATACTTAGCACAAACTGCAGGTCGTTGCCGAATAAAGTTGATTACCTTCAGTCACTCTTGTCCACAAATGTTTGTCGAAACACGGGTGTAATAATGCTGCAGGAAACATGGCTTCATAATCTGTATGATGATGACTTAGTCTGCTTAGATGGTTTCAAATTATTTCGACAAGATCGAAGCTTTTCGAAGAAGAAATGTGGTGGTGGTGTAGCAACATTTATTAGTACTAACTGGTCGTCCTCCAACTATGTATGCTTCTGCTTCTCTAACGAAAAAATTGAGTGCATTACCATCAAATGTCGTCCCAAACATTTGAGCAAATACAAATACATATATATCACAAACATGTATGTCACACCTGACTGCAGTTTCTCAGATTTGTCAACTTTTGCTGATAAATTCACTGAATTTGCTGCTCCGGTTCTGGGAAACTCCTTGTCTATTGTCTGTGGTGATTTTAACTCATGTGACTACAGTTTTCTATTATCATTGGGTCATAAAAATATGGTTAACTTTTCCACTCGTCTTGACAACACCTTAGACTTTGCATTTACAAATGAACCTGGCATATATGAAGCCCGTAAACGGGCTCCACTGCTAAATTCCGACCACTGTATCGTTCGTGTTTTGCCTAAAGTGTACGGAAAATTATACAAGAAAGCTTTTGCATACCTTTCAAGGAAAGTTCAATACAGATGCTATTCACAAGAAAATATATTACGTTTGAGAAGCATGCTTATAGAAACGGACTGGGATATATTTGCTGATGAAGTTTTAGACAACACTATTACCAATATCACAAGCTATCTCAGATTCTGTCTCGATATCTGCTGCCCTACTGAAACAATTTACATGAGATTTGACAGACTTTCCTCTCCTCATCTCAAGAGGCTTCGGAGAGAAAAGGAAAGGTTGTATAAGGCGAGAGATCACCCTGGCGTTAAAAGGCTTAACTGCCTAATTAAGTCTGAAATACAACGTCTGAATACTATATACAACGAGAAGTTCTTATCGTGTAAGAACTCTTCCAATATATGGAAATTATTTAAAGAGCTTACTGGTAAAAAACAGATGACAACACAAACTCGTTCGGATGTCTGCGTGTTAAACAAGTCATTTATACGTCGGCAAGCTAATTTCACCCTTCCTAATGTGCAAAATCAAGTGGATAGCTGCTTTCCAGGTTTCAATACAAATGATGTATTTAAATGTCTAAAGTCTTTGAATCCCTCCCAAAGCTTAGGTCCTGATGGTGTTTCTAGTATCATATTTAGAAAATGTGCAGATATTTTGTGTCATCCACTTACAGATATCTTCAATGTATCGTTCTCTAAAAACATAATACCCACTGCTTGGAAGCAGATAAAAATTGTACCTGTGCCTAAGCCATCTTCTGGATCAGATGTTACTTTTCGACCCATCGCTATAACTTCCCCTTTTCTGAAGACAATGGAGAAATTACTTCTGTTTGTGATTGAGCCTTCATTGATGGCCTTCAGAGATCCAAAACAGTTTGCTTACAAACACCGGAGGAGTACTTTAGATGCAGCTACTGTCTTGCATCATAATATTGTTTCTAGTCTCGACAAAGGTGTTAAGTATGTCCGTTGTGCCTTTTTGGATTACTCATCAGCCTTTGACTCTGTTCCTAGACCACTTTTGTTAAATAAGCTTGCCATAGCTCACACTGATCCATGGGTTACAAAATGGCTGCATTCTTATTTTTCTGAAAGGAAACAGTACACTATTCATAAAGGAATGCGCTCCACTTCATTGCTTACTGAAGCTGGTGTGCCTCAAGGTGCTGTACTTTCTCCTTTTCTGTTTTCCTTTTTTGCACGATTTGCCTTATTCTGTTGAAACTAATTTTATCAAGTATGCTGACGACCTGACGATTTCTATTCCAGTAAACTCTTCTTTGGATTGCTCGAAATTAAATGAATTCTTGTCTGAAGTTGGTAAATGGTCTCAAACTAAACCCCTCTAAATGTCAGACCGTTAATTTTAGCCTCAGGCGTAAACAAGACTTATGTGAGCTGCTTAAATCTCATGACGCCTGCTGCATCAATGGTATTTCTGCAGAAAGTAAATCGAGTGTGAACTATCTTGGGTTGCGTTTTACTTCTGACCTTTGTTGGTCGTCCCATATTTTATTGACTTGTAAAAAATCTTTCGTTTAACTTATTACGTAAAGAAATTGAGGCTTTCTGGTATAACTCAACTGCTTCTTTTACAATTTATTAATTCCTGCATTTTACCTATTCTTCTATATTGTTCCCCATTAATCTTTCCTGGTCTTCTTAAAAAGGACTATGTTATGTTGCGTAGGGCTTTGAAGACCGTCAGCAGGGTGAGTGGTGTGTCTCTGGCTCAACTGATTAACACTGTAGTTGATCGACATATAAATTCCTGCAACCTACTAGCTACAGAAATTTTAACTGACAGTGAGCATCCACTTCATTTACAGCTCTCTCCATGTATCTCCTCAGGGAGGACAAGGAGAAACTACATAAGACTGTATGCTCGTACAGCTAAGTATAAGAACTCGACTGTACCTTACCTTGCACGTATATTTTGTGAGGAAAAAGGTGTTAGAACAGAAATCACACATCAACTTTGTGACAGTTAAAAATCTCATTTCAATAATTTAACTTACAATGCAAAATTTTCTCGTTTTCAACATTCTTCACATAACTTGAATTTTTATAATAAAACGATTCAAAAGGCTACAAAGCAGTATGCATATACTTATATTTTGTCGCTATTTCAATATATATTACGCTGAGAATTCCAAATTGTACCACAAATTGTTTGGAATAAAGTGAATTATTATTATTATCAATTTTGAAATGTCCTGGAAACCCGACAGTTTGACTTCAGCGCGCTTCACGTTGTGCAGTTGGCTGGTGTGTCCCTCTATTACAAAACACATCACCAAGCATTTCAACAAGTATTGTGTCTGCCAGTGTGGCACTGTGAACGAAAACGTCACCTACGATACCCGTACCTTCGGAGTAAGCTGGTCTCAAACGGTCAATACCCCGATTCCCCTTCTTTCGATTAAATAAAAACTTTCGTGCAGCTTGATGGCTCCAAATGGCACATGGCAGAGTGGTGACTGCCCTGCTCACACCCTCTGAGGTAGCAGAACTGCTAATTTGTGATGGGCTACAGGTTCACTTTATAACGATTAACTTACTGACGCTCCAGTAAACGAAGCTACAAATGAATGCCCCAGCAGTAAAACCTTTCCCACTTACCATCGACCGTCAAGACCGGAGTTGTCCAGACTTTGCTAAGGCGTTTGTGCCAATCATGACTATTTTATCAATAAACTAAAATTAATCGGGATCAAATCATCGTTCATCAACCGGTTGTCCTCATACCTATGAGGTCCTTCATTTAGAGCTCGTAGGAGCTTGTTCGCATCCGAAGAAACTAAATGTTCAAATGGATTTCCCAGGGTTCAGCGGTAAGATCATTTTTTCCAACGTATATAAACCACCAGAGTCAATAGTTTTCCTGCAAAATCGCTCTGTTCGCAGTTAGTATGAGGAAGATAGTGTTCCTCCACAGGAAGGCTTAACCCAATTTAAAAACTAGGCACTTAATGATGGCCCGCATTCAACCTTGAAAAATGCGGGGTTGTGCATTTAAAACATAATACATGTCATGTACATAGCCTAAAACGTATGGAGCTCTCGGCGTCGCCGACTTGGAAGGAATGGCGCTTTCTAGTCGCTTAAAGTCCCATTCCACCTTTGACAGAAACGCATTTCGCCAAGACGTGGAGTTAATAACACTGGCGAATCTTCGGTCAATTTGATCGTATATGTTTTCACTAAATTTTCAACAGTGTCAATGGACGTCATTTGAGGTTTTGGTGAAAACCGCGTGTCTCTCTCTTGAGAATGGAGAAATAAGCTCGAAGACCATCTATAGGCGGTTAACTGAATTTTTCTCGGACTTAGGTCTGAAGCATATGAAAAACGGCTAGTCGTGGTCCATCTACATCCCAAGGAATACAGAAGGCTAAGAAGTGATTTCACAATGACGAAAACATCTCCAACACACCTGGACGCCCGTTTCGTCGATCAATGAGGGCTGGTTGCAATTGATGATATGCTCTTCCATCCCCGTCTTCCCCAACCCAAGTATCCACGGTAAGATGCATCCCTTCTTCACACTGTTACCAGAACACACACTTATCTTCCCGTAAGCGCTTTTCACCTCCTCTTTCTCTCATTCCTGACTCACTCCATTTCCAGCACTCTTTAGGTAACTCTTAATGCTCGCTTGCAGGTGCTTACAAAGCAAGAACTGAAAAACCTTACTTGATCTTGCCAGCAGCTCATTCGCCTCCACTCCAAACAAACCAAGCCACAGTTTGCAAGCAAAAAAGCCTTCAGATAGGCAACCCTAACCCCTAAAGCTATAAATAGGGAAAAACGTAATGACTTCTGCGTCCACCGCAGGAGTTCAACCAAAAAAAAAGAACTAAGCGTCAAGCCTAGGAGCGAGAAATCAAAAACTACAAGTTTTCTTCACTTGCACCACTGATGTTGGATGTTGCTGGACCTAGCACATAAGTGGGTTACCTCTGCTCATGAGTAATTGAATTTAAACATTTTAATCGACACATTTTGCCTTATTAACTATCACACTGGTTAAAAACCAAGAAACCTGGTGATGCTCAGATTCTAGATAGGCAAGCCAGTTCAGCAAAAGATTTTTATGTTTCCTCAATATCTTTTTGAACATTTAGGACTGCTACACTTAGGGCTGTATGCATTTCTTAAACCCGCTAGTTTTGGAACTCAAGGTCAACCTGTCGTAAGATGCCTAGCACTGTGAACATTGAGAGGCATAAGCTAAATCAAGCAATGTATCAGAAACTGAAGAAATACATTATGAGCAAACGAAAACGGGAACAAGAAGGTACTTGTTTCATCTCTTGATTTATTCAGGATTCACCCAGAAAAAGCTCAAGATGCCATTGTAAAGCGTCTGAGACGTGAAAGAGAAGAATCAAAGCGCCAAGCCGAAATGGATACAGAAAACTTGGAAAGTACTAAAAAAGAAGTATGGTATCCCCATGCATTTTTGTTTAAACTTTAGATTTCGGTGACTCGCAAACGTTTAGAGGGACTTACATCCAAAAGGAATGAGCTGTTTCAGCGTCTAAAACAGATAGCGAGTGAAGAAACAAGCTTACGAGAAAAGCAAAAAAGGTAAAGTGTCTTAAGCCTTATTCTTTTCCGCAGTGAAACAATGGCTTATTTAGCAAGTATGCCGTCAACACGATTCGGTTTAGATTCGAATAATACCGGATCATCGAATCGCATTACTGTACCTCAAACCACATTAACCTCATGTGTACCTTTGCAAGCACAAACTGTGCAGCATGTATCCGTACCAAAGTCAAACCTAAATACCAATGGACCTGCGTCAATACCTCACAATAATTCTGGGACTATAAGTGGCTCTCCGTCACCTCACAGACCTCATCACCCATCTTTGTATAATTTAAATGGATCAAAGACTACGATGTCGACTCCGGGAAGTTTAAGCATGCAACAGCCCTTGACAACTGTATCGAACAACTCGTCGACCACAATGGCAGCTGTAGTAGCTGCCGTTGCAGCACAACAGAGGTCAATGCCTTCTTCCGATCCGGTGAGTATTTACCGTACTTTTTTCGTGGTTAGCTAGCCTATAGCTTCACAAACAAAGTATTTAGCCGGACTAGGAAAAATCTGGTACATTGATGGGATATGATTATCGAAAAGTGTCTTGTCAAGATTTAGTCTTATGAATTCATCATTCCTGGTTGAAGATTATGTTTCTTTATATGATCTAAGGATAAAACACTAAGTGGGGGGATTTTAAGTAGACTTTTCCACATCGTCCATGTGTTTATCAGGGGTTGACTTTCCAATTCACCAGGTCAGATAATGGCATCAATCTTAGTGGCACTTCTAGGCTTCTGGTGATCGCTTATTTCTAGCAAACATGAACTTCCTGACCAGACTTGCAAAGTGCAACGTATTGATGAACAGAAGTAGGTCATGATACTGTTAGCTATCATGTAGTGGGATCTGTAGACATTCCATATCTTATGGATCACATCTTTTTGCTATAGTCGTACATTCATGCACTTATCCCTTAAAGAATGCACAAAATCAAAATGGGGAGACATTTTTATGGTTAGATCAAAAACAAGCGTCAAGAGTATATTTATTTAAAAGCTTATGGGATCGAAAGATAGTAATTCTTATTATGAGAAAATGTTATTTTTAATCGGCGGAAAAGTGGTGAATATTCCTAATAACCTTCGTCGGAAAGTGAGAGAAAGCAGTTGGGTTCCAGAGTTACTTAATCTAAAGGAGTTATGAAAACTGTTCCTACTTAGCTTCGAGCGCGAATAGGAGTTACTGTAATTGAGATGAGGTATTCACCCAACAGTTGTTAGCAGCGATGGACAGCAAAAACAAGATAAGTAAGAAAGGTAGTTATGATAGCTATGATTAGATAGTCATTTAGGAGTCAAAAACAAACATTCGTTAAGGCAATCATTACTCAGAAGTTTGATTCATAGGTCCACTGTCGTAACAGGTAACTACCTTGACGCATAGATGACTTTTAGGAACAATTTAATTCATTGCTTACCTACATTTTTTTGTTGATCATCCATTGTAAACCTGAGTTGGTTACTGATATTCACCACGCGATTTAAAAAAAAAATTTTAATGACTGCTAGAAGTTTAAGTCAAGGAAGAGGAGCATATCGTGGTGAGCTACTCCTATAAATCTTCAAAGTGGTCACTCAAAGTTATTATTTGTATCACCTTAGGTGCTATTTATAATGTTCGGGTTAGATATCATATCATTCCTGACCAATGGGTCTGGATTGTCAATCATTACACTTTTTACCGATGAGTCTGTATGGCTGTGAAACATGGTCATTGAAGGTCATCATCATCATTATCAACATAGGACCAGGCATTACTGCGTAACGGTCCGAGTTGCCACACCTCATATCAGCACATCAAGTAAAAAGGTAGTGAGGTGAAGGATGAAGATAAGTGAATGCAGTCAAAAGAAATATAAAGTACGAGAAGAAAGGAAAGAGGAGTGACAAAATAGTGAGATTCGGTATAGCGTTGTTAAGATGAGGATAATGTGTGTATACATCTGCGCCACTGACTTCGGTTCTGAGCCATATCACCTAGGGTCTCCAACCACTGGTTCCTCTTGTCCCGTGGACCCCAACCACCTAGTCTGCATCGTCCTACATGGCTTAAACCAACAGTCAGAGACTTCATACATTGGTGCCATGTTTTAGTCTGGCCACCTCGGGCCTTTTTCCAGCCTGAACCCACCTCAGCCAACATTGTGTGACGAGGCAATCGGTGACTAGGCATACGTAGTACGTGTCCCAACCATCTCAGTCGATGAAGGTTCACAACCTCGTCGACTGACTTACCTCTTCTCCCTAAAACTCTACACCTAACTTCTGCATTACTCACATGGTGACACCACGGAATACGTCCTATACTACGAAGGCAACGGTGGTCAAACACCTGAAGCCTTTTCATGTCTTCCACTTTCAATGGCCATGTTTCACAGCCATACAGTAGAACAGAGCGGACTGCTGTGCAGTACACGCGACCCTTAATAGACAAACGAATATCACGGCGGCGCCATAGGTGGCGCAAATTGGCAAAAGCCAATCGAGCCTTTTGTATCCGTGCAGAAATCTCATCGGCAACTAACCCACCAGGGTTGATCCTACTTCCCAGGTAAGTGAAGTGGTCAACACACTCAACCACTTCACTCTCTATTGTTAACCGCGGTACCGCTGAAGACCAGTCCTGGAGCAAAAATTTGCATTTGGGTGGTGAAAATCGCATCCCAAACATTCTCAAATTCCCACTCAAAGTGTTCAGAAGACTCTGCATCTTGTCAGCGTCTTCACCTAACAGGACTATGTCATCTGCATATTCTAGATCTAAGGAAAATTCACCTGTGATCGGGTCAACGTCTTTGTAATTAGGTGACGAGAGGGAAACCTCCATAAGAATATCTATGATAAAATTAAATAAGAATGGGGATAGTGGGCATCCTTGACGGACACCACTTGATGAGTATAGCTCCCTGGACAACTCACCATAGGCTCTAACATGCCCACAAGTGTTCGAGTAGAGAGCTTTCAATAAGGTGATGTACTTACTAGGCACGCCTTTCAGTGACAGACACTGCCATAAGACTTCTCGATCAACGGAGTCAAATGCCGCCTTCAGGTCGAGAAATACAGCTATTGTCGGGCGTCTGTAAGCATGCCTATGTTCCAGGACCTGGCGCAGTGTGAATATTTGGTCGATACATCCACGGCCAGGTCTAAAGCCTGCCTGGTTTTCTCGGGCTTGCTGTTCCCGAGCTCCACTCAGGCGTCGGAGAATTATAGAACTTAGGATCTTAGACACTATGTTTGTCAGGCTGATTCCTCTGTGGTTATCACAAGAGGACTTCTCGCCTTTCTTGAAGACTGGGATGATCAGTGACTTAGACCAGTCGGAGGGGATCGTATTTGATTCCCATATACTGGCTAACACTTCCGTTAGCCTGACTAAGAGAACTCTACCACCATTCTTGTATACCTCAGCAGGTAGTCCGTCTGGTCCTGCTGCCCTTCCCCGTTTCAGGCTACCTACCGCTTTCTCAACTTCTTCTAGTGTTGGGGGACCTGTCTCTATGTCCCATTCAGGGTCCGACTGGATAGCGGGCAGCGCAATGGTGGCTGGAGGCCAGTTAAACTGTTCCTCAAAGTGTTCTGCCCATCGTCCCAGTCGCCTTCCCTGCGAGTGAATCGCAGATCCGTCCTTCTCCGCTATAACCTCACTAACTGTTGTTGACCATTTCCCCCCAGTCTCCTTAATAAGTCTAAATAACTGTCTACTGTTACCGATCGCCGCTGCCTTTTCCATCTCTTTAGCCTTTGCTGCCCACCACTGTTCACGATCGTTGCGCAGACTTTTCGTCAGTTATTTTTAAGTTGCGCTCGCTCTTCATTGTACTCAGAGCCTGCAGGGATGCATTCACGTGCATCCATTAGTTTGGAAGAAGCTGCTGATATCCACTGGCTCTTTTTAGCCATTATCTTGGAGTCGGCTACAGTCTCCAGTGCTGCTTTTACAGTAGACTGAAGATGGCACCAAGCTTCTTCTGGATGAGTGACAGTCTTTTGTTCCGATAACTGCCTAGCCAACTTCTCACTGAACACGGCTTTGGTGTTTTCGTTGTCCAGCAGAACTCGTAGTGGTTTTGTTGCCAAATTTTTTCTACGTCCATTGAGACGCAGGCATATACGTGCTCGGACCAACGCATGATCGCTGTCCAAACACGTACTCCAGAAGGAGCGGCAGTCTTCCACCGATCCTCTCCAGCGATGACTAATAGCAATGTGGTCTATCTGTGTCCATCGCTGAGTCGAGCTCGGTGGACGCCAGGTCAGACAGTGCCTTTCTTTATGTCTGAAATTTGTGCTGGCTAAAAATAGGCGGTTATCTGAGCATAGTTGTAATAGGCGATCACCGTTATCTGTACGTTCAGCTGGGATTCCGAAAGTGCCACCTAAGTGCCTTTCTGCCTCACTCAGTCTACCCACCTGTGCGTTGAGGTCACCTGCAACAACCACTACGTCCGAACGTTTGGCTTTCGAGAGGAGGTTAGACAGTTTATGGTAGAACTCGTCCTTCACTTCATCCGAACTACAGTCAGTGGGTGCGTAAGCAGAGATTACAAAGAGACAACGGCGAGTCTCACTATTCCTTTTAGTTCTCACTGTGCCGTTCAGCCTCATAGCGCAGAGGCGACTATCAACTGGGATCCAGTCTAGTAGTGAGTTTTCTGCCCTGGTGCTTAATGCTATACCTACACCTGCAAGACCACGAGAGCTAGCTATCGAATCTCCAGAAACTCGAAGGGTGAATTTTGCAGATTCACCAGATTGGTCAGGAGAGGTCAGGTGAATAACCACACTTGGGTCCTGTATGCGTGTCTCACAAACACAGCACACATCCATGCCCGAGTTGCTAGAGTCTTTGCCAACGAAGCCTGTTGGCCAATTTGACGGAGGGTGCGGACATTGAAGGCTCCAATATGTAATTTGGAGCGTGGTTTAAGGAGACCAGGGATGCTGTTCTGTGGACTCAGATCGTTGTCGAAGGCTGCAGAGGTAGGAGAAATTGAAGATGATGCAGCATCATTAATTAAGAGACGTGAAGGAAGATTAGAAGGTAATGATGGAGGAGGAGGATAGCAGTCAGAAGAAACTTGGGTGCTGACAGAGTTGTGAGGGCGGTTGACACTTCCCGGCTGCCCACACCGTGGAAGGCTATTTCTTCTTAAGGTACCTGAAAGAGATTTGTGTGACCGCAGAGCCCATCGGACATCTGCTTGAGGCCTGTCACACCCAGCCTTTTGAGTATGATTATTTTGAATTTTGTATTTTTGGGGCCGGATGGGCGAAAGGAAACGACAAGTGAACCAACACCGCCGGCCCGGCAGACCGTGGGGCGTGGTGGAGTGTGTTATTTTTGGGGCCGACCTTTTCTAACCCCCCCTTCCACTGAGAAGGCAGCATCAGCTTGGCACTGCTGGTCATCCAAGGGAAACACCTTACTGCTGTCACACCCCATCCAGCTAGCAGCAGTACGACTTCGCCCTCAGACCCCCATCATAGTGTAGCAATTTACACTATGACGGTAACTGCTTTTCGTCTAACCACTACCCAACAGACCTTTCTGGTATGGTAGGACCTCGAGGGAACAAGCGTTCCACCAGCATAGCTCGTTGGGTCATTGTGATATGCAAGCCCGACCACCACGTCAAGGTAGCAGCTATCGGTCGGGGGTCATTGAAGGTAGAAGACTTCAGGCTTTTGACCACCATTGCCTTCGTAGCATACGCCGCGTTTCCTGGTATCACCAGGTGAGTAACGCAGAAGTCAGGTGTAGAGTTTTAGGCAGGAGAAGTAAGGTAGTTCATGCTGTTATGAACATTCATCGACTGAGATGGTTGCGACATGTATTACATTCGTCACACAATGTTGGTTGAAGTATGTTAAGGGTGATCAGATTAAAACATGACATCAATACTTGAGCCATGTTGGGCAATGCAGATTAGTCAGTTGGCGTCCGCATGACAACAGAAACCAGTGATTTTGAGACTAGGATGGATGTTAGTGGTGCAGTTGCATACACACATTACCCTCATCTTAACCACTGTACCGAATTCAGCATTTCGTCATTCCTCCTTCCTCTCTTTTACTACTCTCTACCTCTACTTGCTCTGATCGTTTTTTCTTTCTTTCTTCATCTTGCGCTTTATTACCTTTTTACTTGATGTGCTGATACGAGGTGTAATAACTTGAACCGTCACACATTAATGCCTGGTCCTATTCTGATCTTGATGATGATGAACCCCCTTGAGAGATATTCCGTGATAGGTTTTAAATCGTTGGTTAATTAGCTCATTAAACTATCCTGCTCATGAGATACTGAACTACTAAAAATTCCGACCCAAACTACAAATTTCACATTCAGATTGTCATATTTTTTTTTTAGAAATCTCAGCATTTCACTGATTAGAATGTCACCATCCTTGAAAGCAGCCGGGGGTAAATAAACGAGAGTGGTCGCTGTGGTATTTTATTGTGCAGAGACCCTTCCAAGAGTTCATTCTGGTAGGTGGATCCGCATCGACTGACCATGAAGCTCAGGACTACGTAGTCATGGTTTTCAGGACTGTTCATGCCTCAGTGTGAGTAGGAAAGTTGCAGGTGAGAGATTTATGAGTTCAGCTTGCAAATGATTACATCAGCTGTATAATCGAGGTAGAACGGATTCAACAACAAACAACGCCATACTACTTTACCGCATAAACACCCATAGAAATTGTAATTAACCTTCAACAGTGGATTATGATCGACCATTGGATTTGGGCTGCCTGGTCCAGACTAACTTTCGCATGAAATTGCATCCCTGAACACAAAAATCTTCGGAAACAGTTTAAAAGTTAGACTTCATAATGATCATCAGTAGTGGTAAACAGGAAATACTGAAAAGCTAGATAAAAATAGTACCTGTTGGTTGAAATCCACTCATATCCCAGAGACTAAAATCAAAAAGACGGTATCTAATAACATTTACTGAGAAGAATATGTGAGTAACTCAGTTGCAAGAAAGACGATTGGAAATGTGAACAGATCATATTCAGAACTACTCGAATCAGTCCTCAGCCACCCTTCTGTCCCCTAATTGTCAGTTGTAACGTAAACCTGAAATTTTAATTTCATACCCAACACTTGCTGGAGTAAAAAGTTTCAGGTAATTATTATTGTCATTATTAATATTGTCAGTATTATTGGAGCAAAAATATGCCACAGGAAGGGCACCAGGAAATGCGCTATACTTCAGGTAATGTAGAATGAAAACAGCAGCAGATCAGAATACAACACAGAAATTACTTATGAATGATGGCCTAAGATTATAAGTTACACAAAAGTATTAACCAGTGTTGCATTTGGACACTAACCCCTTAATTGGATTATATGTCTGACTCTCCTAGTTTTCAAAAAAGTAAATTCCTGTGTGATTACGGAGAAAATAATTTTGATCAAAGTAATTTCCATGACATCATTGTTCGCAGTCATCCCGAAGTTCACCAGGTGTCCCAGGAGGGTAAATTCGACCAGACTAGGAGAATTTAGAACATTAGTGAAGATATATTAACCAGATATTCATCTTGTGCTAAATCTTGGAGTACATGACAATTAAGACATTAACCATGTTAATTCGCTTGAAGATGGCGTTTAACGTTCTCACTCGAGGGGTCTTTTGATAGTCTCTCGTCATCAGGAATTGCTGTCGTGTTACATCAATGTACTGATGTGACATGTGGCAAATTAGGGCAATATGCAGTTGTTTCAGCCCCTAAGCTTTTCATGTCTCTTTTAGGATTGTCTTCGGAGTTGTAGCACATTGATTGACTTTCAACCAGTGGGTCATAGTTTGGAACACCGGTTCTCATACTGAGGTTGGTATATTTAGTCCTCACACAATAACTGCGGCTCACTGCCTACTACATAGATGTGAATAAGGTTGCTGAGTGTATCTTGATTTCGATAGCGTTGTAGGTGGTTAAATGAATTTTTGAAGTGCATTAGCCTTTTCTTACAGGTGTAATGTAACGAATGAAACAAAAATTTTATTTTTTCGATTTCGATCATAACTGTCTATACTTTTGGTTACTAAGTAGTTTTTTATGGCTCACTTGACGATCTTTTTTTGACAGGGTTTTCCACCAACAGCAGCTGCAGCAGCTTACTTCAATGTAATCGCTTCTCTGGCAAATTCACCTTCATTAACAGGGAATTCCTTGGGTATAGCTTATCCCAATTCTTCCGTTAGTCTTGCTGAAGTTGTAGCTGCTCTTGCTGCATCAGGGTTGTGTTCTCTTCCAGCATCACTTTCTTCTAATCCAATTCCAATGTCAAGTGGAAATATGACCCCAAACTTTGCATTTGGTAATCGTGCCTCCCCATCTAATCCAGATGGCCATCAGATTCGTGATACGATGACAACACTTTCATCTGGAACCATGCATCCAGGGTTAACATATCTTCAAAATCCAATGCAATCAACCAATTTATCAAAACACCCAGCGGTATCCATCCACCATAACACTAGTAAGTTTATTATTGCAACGAAGCCAGTACTTTTATATACTATTTCAGATAACAGTTCATTCACTTTCATTTACCAGACCAGCTTAACATTCAGTAAATTATTACTAAGAATAATGCCAAATAAAATCCACGCTAAAGAACTAACGGTTAAAACAGGGATCATTTACAACTTTGTTTATGAGTTTTCGTATCATTGTTGAGGAGTAAGCAATAATAAACAACTACCCAACCTGTGTTGCATCACATCCCCATCAACCAGATACTGGTTGGGACTTGGTGCTAGAGTCTGTTAGCGATGTTCGAATGTTTTTGAATGAAAAGCTCATTGGTTCAGATACAAAGTAAAATATTACTTTCTGACAACCCAATTTTAACGAAGAATAAATGTCTCGGTTGTATTGTGTTCCCTGATATGGGTTGTTTAATAGTGAGTTATCGCCGAAAAGAGACTTTCCTTTGAAGCACTTGATCTTCTTTAATATCATGACAAGTATATTTCCCAGAGATGTCAAAACTGCAGATTCATTGAAGAAAGAAACTGTGACTCTTGTGGTATGGCAAAATGCCTCGCCACCTTTACCTACTAGGACGTCAATGTGAAGAAGCTATATGTGGTGTGGTTAGGTAGTGTTGAGTTGTTGCTGATAGCCTGGAAAAACTGTGTACACCGATGATTACGGGCCGAGCATAGTAACGTAATGTTAGTGGATTTTCTTGCGACCGGATGGATATCATCCAATCCACCTTCAAAGCTTAGTAGTAAAAGTAGTTGACGAAATTCTAATGCACAGTTCAGTGGTGCGGATCTGCAGAGTACGGACAGTCTAGCTAACCCATCAGGATTCTGTCTAATCTGCTGAGAGCAGTGCAACCGAAAGGTAAGGGAATCCGGCTTCCTAATTGCGATAGTCACTGTTGTTGAAGTACTTGTTAGGGACAGGTGTAATTCATCTTGAGAAGGTAAGCTCAGAAAACACAATACAACCAAGACCATCCACCTGAGCTGCAAATATTCTCCACTATTTCGAAGAATAGTTGTGCTCAATAGGATATCGTGTCTGTTAACTGTCTTTTGAGAACATTTCTGTCTTCGTTGAAAGTTCATATTTATTTCACGTTGGTATTCACTGTGGATTGGGAGCACTGGATAGCTACTTCGTCCTAGTTTGGGACTCAGCAGTGCGCACCCATAACCCCTCCATCCTAGATCGGACCCATGATCTTCAGGTCCCGCAGCCTGCGCGTTACCATTGACCCATTTGTTCTGAATCCAATGGTTTGTATTTCCTACTTCTGTCAGTTGACGATATAGCACGATCTCCATCCACTGCCGTCGTTGAGTAACTGTCCTCATGTTCGAATTGGTTAACACCACTGGTCATGACTTCTCATTTGAAGTTCGGGAACCAATTGTCGAAGCTAGTCGCCGATGAGCACCATTTTTTTAAAAGACAAACTTGGTATAGCTTGAGCACTAAGAGATACACAATACGAAATAATACTGATGTATGCTACTCACAAAGACATGTGAGTACTATTTGTCATAATGTCCTCAGGAGAATCAAGTAAAAGTTCTTAAAAAGGAAACAGAAAGAAGATATACAGTACAAATGAAGATGCAACAGAAATTACAGATAAACTCGTTTCAAATGTAGAATACTGAGATCGCTTGAATAAACTGTGTTTAATCTAAGGTTTTCATATTTTTATCAAGACTTCATCAGTCTTCATCTGCCTTCTCACTACAATTAGTATCACTTTCTGGATAAGATAAAGGTATCACGACTTAAGGTATTCAAAGCTAGGGATTTGAGGAGCTTCCAAAAAGAGTTCGATGGGTGTCCACAAGCCTGAGGTGAAGATGATGCTATTGGGAACTCTGTTGATAGGAAGAGCGAAGGTGGTGTACGAGAGCATGGAGGACGCTGGTAGACTGACATCATAGAAAATTGTTGTTTACCGTTTGGTTGTGAAGCCTAACATCCTCCTAGACAGACAGGGAGGCATGAGTGTCAAGACATGGTGACCAGTTAGCATTAACAGTAACGTTGAAAAATTCTCTACATCGATCGTAACCCACTTTGAATGAAGAATTTCAAACATAATTGCTGGCGTCCGAATTTATCAGAAGTATATCTACAATTATTACAAAGCAGTTAAAGCTGGTAAATGTTGCACAACTAATGGAAATCAGTAAACTAGCTAAAGTGGTCAGGCAGCTAATGAGTTAGACGGTGGTACCGGTGATGAATCAGGCCCAAGACATGAAAATCGCAAACCAAGTGAAAAAACTACAGTATCAGTTGGTAGTTATTTAAATAAACGTCAACTAGAATGACAAATACCTCACCTTTGGAAAAGCAGGGGATTGGCAAAGAAACTGACTGGTGAATAGAAAAGCAAGTATTTGAATGATAAAATGTATCTTCTTTCTTTCGGATCAAACTGGGGTGTGTTGCAATAATGGATAAAAGTGCGACTTGTGCGAGAATAAGCCTAAACGTATGAGAATTAATGTATCTGATCGATAGAGGGGTAGCAATTTCTCTAATGAAAAAAGTCCAGTGTCAACTTTAAACAATGCACGTTGGTGATTCAGACTATGTCGAGGCAGGTACTGTGTTGTATAAATATGACGTTGTGGAATTCATTCTCCGTTCATTGTGATCATATGTTTACAGCGAGCACTACTGGGGATGGGCTTCCCGAGAGAGGTAGGAGCGATAATGGGAAGTCGAGCAATAATCATGAAGTTGACACATCAGACATACCAGACATATCAAAGCAGCGAAGTAATGGAGGTAGAAGTAACAACAATAATGACAACAAAAAAGACAGAATACCGGAGGATTGTTAACAAAATATGCGTAATTATTCACTGAGGACGGCGAATCCTTCGAATTTTGTTATATAATGAAACATGAAATTCCAATGAACAACCACAGGATAATGACATTTGTAACTCACCGAATTACTGTAAACTTAGAAGTGAAAGTAGAACAACAGGTTCGATAGACATTAAAGAAGCTCACTGGTTCTTTTAGGGGAAGAAGTTCAACGAAAAGTATAAATTCTGTGTCAACTTCGGGGTAATAAATAAAATAACGTAACTGAAAATATATTCAATGCCACCCGTGGCAGAAACACTAGATCGCCAACAGAACTCGAAGATCTATCGCCGTACCATTGACAACTACCAATAAAGCAGAATAATCGGATCAAAATAACACTAATGATGGGTCAGAAAAAGAACCAGTTTAAACGGATTTCATTTGAATTGGCAGGTGCATCCTTTATCTCTAGAGGATGACTTTTTTACTCAGTGACTTGAACAATATTAAAGTGTATGGTGACGATTTGGTTGTGTACAGTCACATGGGAACTGATCATGTAGAACAGATGGTAGTCATCCGAAGGTGAATTGAAGAGCTTGAACCACGAAGCAATTATAATTAGGTTACAGGTAACTGACAGCATTGTCACGCTGTCGGGTTATAAGGTAGGAAACGGAAAAATAAAGTCATATCCGAGAAAATTATGACTATGGTAAACGCTACGACATCCACTTCGAAAATGAAACTAAGATAGATCTTGGAAAGAGTAATATTGTACAACCGATTTAACACGATTGTGGCAACCGTGCATAAACCAAGTTTACATAAACAGGCAGATCAGTAGGCATGTGATTGAATCAAAGAGCTTTTAGATAACTGACAGTTGATGTTACAACTGCCGAAACTCAATAAACAGTCCACATTTGCTATAGATGCAAGTGACTACGGTAGATATACCATCCTAAGACAGTCAAACTAAATTTCAGAGTGTATCAACCATGTTCTGATGCCGGTGCAACAGAAGTATTCCACTTCTGAGAAGAGATGTTTAGTTATCCTCTTGGCCCTAGGCAAATGGAGACCCTACCTTCTAGGTCGTCGATTCCACATCGGAGCTGATTATAAACCCTTCCATTGTCTGAAAATAGCAAAATACTCCTGTAGGAAGTTATCACGGTGGATGATTTCACTAGGCATATTCGAGGAAGAAATTATATGGTAGCGGATTACTTGGTTAAATAGGGAGCGGAACTTAAAATCCCAAAGACAGCATACGTAGTCAGCAACCTAAAGAGAAACACGCTTAAACTGATCCCTTTTCACAAGTCTAATTCTAATCTTCAAGAAGTAATTTGAATGATAAACGAGGGGATATATGCTGACAAGCAAACAAGGAAGCAACAAAATCAATGTAATGTAGGTTGTAATCCCATTTCAGTTGATTTACTAGGTGTATCATACAGCGGAGCAATATTATTAACTGGATGTCATTCCGTACACAATTTATCTTCCATAGTCCCGATCAAAGTAGCTATACAACTTTAAGACATGGTTTATGTAATTCTAATTCTTTCTCCTTCTTTGTGATATAGATCGTAGAATTTTCAATATATCCGGGATAGGTGGTGGGTCATTCCTATTTCAGGTACTAGGTGTTGATTTAACAAACCGGAATTCGGTTATCCATTCCCTCAATCTTCCCAACTAAGTCAGTTTTCCAGTATTCTCGCCTTGTCCCATCATATTGTGACTGTGCGTAATTGCATACATAGGTAAAGTCGATCAGTTTTCGAAATTTCTTATCCTACTAAGGTCTACCATTCTTGATTTGGCTAAGCTTTTGTGCCCAGAAAGCCTAGTTGACTCTGAGCAACTAGTTTTCCCGATGTATGTAACCTCAATATCATTGCAAGAGGTTGGAAAAACTGAGTTATTTTGTTTACTGGATTGACAGGACCTCTTAATCTACAAAGCCTGTTTCTAGGTTGGTTTGTAAGTCTAGATGCCGCTTAAATCCCGGTCTTATTGAAAAGTACATATAATGTATATGATGTACCTTCCTTTTGAGGTTTTGAATTATTTCTTCTCAGGGTAGCCATTATTGCCACTATTATTATTATCGTGCCTCAGTGGCTTAGTGAATAACTCCCTGGCGTTTGAAGCGAA